TAACTGCTTGCCTTGGAAGCCGGGATTTGCTAGGAACTGTGAAAACACTCCCACTAAATAGGTGATGTTTGGCGTAATACAGACCTTGATGTCTTGCTGGTTGGTGTCCCCAAGCTATTGATGGCATGTCTGGAAATCTACTTCTTTCCTTACGTCCACTCTGGCTGCACCACTTCAACATTCAGATGATACAACTTAGTATATCTCCTCCCACACGCAATTGTATTTCCTACTGAGTTTGCAATCATACATATCTACTTCTTGAAAGTGATGTCCAAGTCAGGATAGTCAAAATAATGTCTTGTTTACCCCAGAAACATAGTAAACATTATGTACACTGACAATCTACTCTGATGGAAGCTTGATGTAAATCATGCAAACTCTCTCCACCTTGTGCGAGTAATCATCCCTAGGAAAATCCTTCTATTTCCTGGAACTGATTTAAGTCCTGGTGATGTTTGGATTGCCGTCCATTGCCGTAGTTTGATCCCCCCTCTCGACCATGAGAAATTTTTATTTGCTTGAGAGCGTTGCAGCAAGGGGCAATCCCACGGTTCCACCACCCAAGATTATATATTCCGTAGAGATTGATAAAAAAAAACCAATGTCTGGGCTAGAAGAATGTAGGCAACGATCGAGCCCATGTGCAAATATTTAATGGAAGAAAAGCTCGCTTAGAAAACCATATATCTAGAGTGATCTATCCACGCTTAATAAAAAACGTGATGTTGTTGCTACCAAAAAGATTGTTGTGACCTTTCTACTGACTTTCAAGACAATTCGACACCGGGTTTCTGTGAAGACGTGCGGGATCCCAAGTAGGATTTCTGTCTATGCATTGTGAGTTGGCTAGGTGCGCTAGAATTTGATCAGGTTCTCGCTGTACTTGCATTTCCGGTGCCAATCTGGAATGGCTCAACAGGGTACTGGCCGGGATTGTGCTTCGTTGGAGAGGAATAACTTCGTCTACATTGTCAGCCTGTGAACCGTACGCGACTCAAGGCAGTGGTGGATCCACGAGCAGCTCGTCCAGATGCGGATCGCCGAGCACCTGTAGGACTGCACAGGTCTTATGACTCCCAGAGCAAACTATCTCGTCAACTCTTCGCTGGTGTGCAAGCTTGGATGATGTTCGAGGCTCACAGTGGTCCAGTTTTGAAGCAAGATGATATAGCAGCATACAGCGGCCATTCCAGTCTGAAAGCCCTGGAGTCCACGAAGATCGTGGCTGATGCCATTAGCTGCGTTGCGCAAGATGTACGCACTCGTGGACATGCATGGAATTAAGTGTGGCTGTGGCCCGGCCCCCCGGAAGGTGTTTGACAATATGGGGTAGAAGAACGAGCTCTGCTCTACAGCATAGCTATACAAGAATATTAGTGAATTAGTGTTTGGGTTGCGTACGGAAATGCTTGTTTCATACGAGATGGGATTGCGATTCCAATAGCTGAAGATCCTCTCTTCTGGGAAGATCTGGCTGCGTGAAAGAAGCCCTGAAAGAAGACAAGGAGAACAAGCTGCCAGACGGAAACCGCTCCAGAAAGTTTCACGACACAATTTCATCAGGAGAAGATGTTTACAGTGTCGCACCTCTATCTCATCAACTGCTTTAGAGTTTTTGGTAACTCTCCAGCTGAAAATGCATCTATTAATGCCTTTTCAATCTCTATAGGGAGGGAAGGCTTTGTCACCGCCGGACTTCTTAAGTTTGGATCATACGAGGACTCCAAACCCCACAGAATGCACTATACTATGCGATCAGGCCTACAAGTTGTCAAAGGTCTACTTCAATTTTAACATTTGAGCATAAGTCAACAGCATCACCACCCAAGAACATGTTTTTGGCAGTGTGATCATTTGGTAGAACTCCCAAGCTTCTTCACGGCTGCTGAGCTTTGCATAGGTACTGGCCTTTACATTTTCTCCTGACGAACTTAAAGTATGCAATGTACTTCCAGCATTATAGTTGGGATCACAAGAACTGCCTTATAGCTGTGTTCTCTTAGATAGCCTTTCCATAAATACAAAACTACTTCTAGTCAGAAGTGGGATATGAACCCACGCCCTCGTGAGAGGAGCAGAACTTGAGCCTGCCGCCTTAGACCGCTCGGCCATCCTGACATTACATGTCTACAGCGAGAGAGTTTTACCTAGCAATGGTTGAATGCATGAAGCATTCAACCACTTGGCAATGCATGCTGGAGTGTTACATAATATATAAGGCCTCTAAGGTCTAGCGATTATTCAGCAAGAATTGATCGAGTTCTATTAACCTCTACCGCAATAATGAAGGCTGCTTTGGTGTTGTTTCTGGTGTTGGCCTTTGCCACTCTCCAGATAGCAGTCTCTTCTTCTTCTTTGGGCAGACGGGAGCTCTTGTCTGTGGATGATGGTGTTGCTGATCAGGATTCATCAATGGTAGAATCAGAGTCTACAATGCATCCCCTTGAGATGGATGGTGATCATGAAGATGGGGTTCATGGCCAAAGCAAGCACAAGAGGAGCAACAACAACAACAATAACATCAACATCAATATCAACATTTGCAGGAAGAAGTCTATGGATCATGAAGATTCAAAGCATACGGACAAGGAGGACGAGAAGAAAGGGTTCCATTTTTAGTGTAGAGATGATGATCCTCCATCATTTGTAGATCAATAAAACCGTCTTGCGTACGAAGATCTTCACGATTTTAAGGAGCTCAAATTAACAAACCCTGGAATAAAGACCCAATGGTTTGCATCAGTTTTAGCACCAAATTTACCACCATGCATTTATTGGGCAAGTACTAGTCTTACAACTTTTGGCGTTTCAGATCTTTTAAATCGTCTTCTAGAGAAGATCTGCTCAAGAGGCTGCAGTTTTGGCAGTGAGAAATGCAACAGGACACGTCCGCCACCAGGCCAAAGCGACCACTCGATTTGCTCGATTCTCCTGCGCTGCTTCTTCATGCTCTACTATGCTGTTTTGTAGTTTTCTTGGAGCTGGATAACAAAGGAAAATCTCCTGATGAGATTTTTTTTTTCCTTCCACATAAAGGAAGCACTATAAATTTCTGGCCTATCCTGATTGGAGCGAATGATCTCAAACACCCAAGCAATGAAAGTGACGACTTTCCGAGTCTCTGCCTTCACACCCAAGCAATGAAAGTGACGACTTTCCGAGTCTCTGCCTTTGGATGTACAACCATCTTTACATAATTATTAACTTTTGAAACACTAGTATAAATGCCAAAGCAAGAAGGTAATAAATAATACTAAACATAAATAACATTATTATTCCTCTATGTAACACATTATTTTTATGACCAAGGTAGTATTGAAGAATACTATCACTATTTTTTGGATTTACAAAAATTTATAAGGAACCAAAGAAATTTTTTTAATATTTAATTATAAAAGGAACTAAAGTGCACCCTTTAAAATTTTTTAGCATGAATTTAATCATTTTTAAGTTTTAGTTTTAAAATTAATCCAAGACTTAATCTGGGTAATAAATAAAGGTTTGATGTTTGAATCCTATAGTAGCAAATATATGCATGGAAAGATGTGATATTAATAAATAAATAAATTGCTACGGTTGCATGTAGTAACATTTAATTTGCTTAATAGTAGTTTTGATCATATAAAGTTTATAATTATAAGCATGTTTGTAATTTATAAACACAAGATTAATATTATGGCATATCAAGCATTAGATGATAGAATAAAAAGGGTAGAAAAAGATGACGATATCAGGCTTTCCAATCTTTGCTTGCCTTGTCCAAGTATTTTTCTTTCTTTTGTGACCAGGACTCCGATACTTGGCATGTCGGCACTGGTGCTGGCCACTGGTCTTACAGAAGAACAGCACCTATACCTTCAGCAGTTATGATATGGTAAGAAAGTGTCTATGGTTTAAGCTGTGCTGGACTTCTCGTTTTGTGGGCAACTTTAGAGTACTGAGTCGTTCAAAGCTCTCGTACTTGAAACGTCAGCTTTCTTTCTCAAGTGTGGAAAATAGAGTTTCTGGTCCCAATGGTTATAATATGTTCCAAGGTTTGCAAAGGCGCCTAAAGATCCGCAACCTCTAGCTACACCTGAAGTTTAGCACAAATGAGGACCACACTTGTGAATGTATAACTTTATGACGTACTTGTCAAGCTCTTCCTCGTTGCTAAAGGCATATCCCAGGACGTTCCGCGTCGAGAGCAAGAGTGTTCCAACTAGGCAGGAATCCACAAGTCCAATGCTAATTGTCACACACACTGTGGTCTTTGCGGACTGGGTTCATTTGACACTCGAGTGCAAGTAAAAAAACAGATAGAAACCTCTCTTATCTCCATAATAAACCATATATTGGAAACTAATTGTCATGCATCTCAGTTTTCTGTCTCTTTTCAGGGTCTGTGGATTGGAATAGTTTGTGGCATTGCAACTCAAACGAAGGATCAAGTGAAACGTTTGCAACACTTGGGAACCATGTTGATGTGGTCTGCTTGGCTGTAGAATCTAGTTTTAGGCTCTGGGACTAAACTCAATTCTTCCCTATGGTCGTGTTTGCCAATTTCAGGCACTACTTGAATGGAAAATACATTGCACATTAATCAACTCAACCTTGAAGATTCCATAGAGCACATCGCAAAATGAGCTAAAACACACAAATCAATTGCGTGACGTGAGCTGACACATAAGCTGCATAACCATGTCAGCAACATGAACCCAGGGACGGAAGGACCATAAAACAGAGGCGGCCGCAAAGCTGAATGTGAGTGATGGATTGTTTTAGTGGTCCAAATTTAGAAGATGTTCATTAAAATACAAGACAAAATTACCAAACGCGTGCCGATAAATGTACAGTGCATTGGCAAGCTCTGTTCACATGAATCTGCATTGTGCCAAAAGACCTCTATAAAACGGGCTGCCAAGCAGCATTGGCTCAGGACTTCATTGGTTGAGCAGTTCAACCCTTTCTTGACGATCATCCATTATAGATATTGCATTTGCTTGATTTGCGCCAACATGTCTGTGATTGTAGATGTTACCATGGTTGGGGGCCCTTACGGTAGCCAATACCAGGAAGTCCAAGCCTGGAAGGTCGGGAAACTCATCACCAAGCTCACCGTTTTCAAGCAGGAGAACAGAGTGAGAGGTGCCTACGTGTGGAAGAATGGAGAGGGCCAGTACGATGGAGCCACTTTCGGTGTTGCTGCTGGAGATTCAGACACCTTTGAGTTCCAGCCCGGCGAGCGCATCACCTCCATGTCACTCTGGCCTGGAAGATGGGGACCAAATAATCACGTCCGAGCAGGCCACATCTGGTTCACCACCAGCAACGGTCGCAACTTCGATGCGGGGCCTGGCAAGTGGGGCAGTGAAACCAAACTTGACGTTGGGTCGGGCTACCTGGTTGGCGTGGAAGCTATTACCGGTTCAGACATTAACAAGTGGGGCTTTGTCTTCCTCAAGCCGCTGCTTCTCCTCACTCTCACTGATGTGGAGTACCCCAGCCTCAATGAGATGGGTGGTGTTGTACCCGTCACCCTTGACAGTCTCGACGAGACTAACGACAGCAAGAATTCCGACCTCAATTGGACTCTGGAAGGCTCCAAGAGCGAGACAATCTCATGGGAGTTTTCCAAGGCTGAGGGCCTCACTGCAACTGTAGGCTTTCAGGTTTCTGCTGGGATTCCAGAGATTGGACTCGGAGAAACAGGGAGCTTCCAGTGGGAGGTGAGCAATTCAACCACCAGGACAGCCAGCCACAGCCAGGTGACTGATCTCAAGTGGTCAACAGGCGGTGTTCTGCGGCCCGGTGAGAGGGTTACTGCATCTGCTCTCACCCAGGTGGGCAAACTTTCCAACTTGTTTTACAATGGTACCATTGTGATCAAAACCCAAGACAGCCACTGCTACAGCTACCCTGTAAGTGGGGTGTATTCGGGTGCAACAGTGACCAACGTCCAGGTTGCTGTTGACGTTAAGTGAGCCTGTGTGTGGAATTATATATGTATTTCTGGGGTACAGCCAGACTGAGCTTGTACCACAATAAGATTCAATAAAAGCATATATCTGTTTGTATTAAGTACCATTCTGATATATATATATATATAACGACCTTTCATTACCATTGGTCAGCTCGCATTGTGGTGAAGCTACATAGTTATTGTACAAGAAACTTAATTAAAAAATTACAAATACCGAACTCGTTATTACAGAAGAAATGTAGATATATGTACAAATGAAAACTTGAAAGGCCATTGTCCTCCAGACTACTAGTGTGATTATAATAAATAAAGAGAGAAAATAGATAAGCTGGAAACATACGAGCTCAAGTGAGCGAAGCTGATCTTAACGGCTAGAGGGGTATATTCTCAAGAGAATTTAGTTTTCCGTCTATAAACGGAAATTCATGTAGCAAGGATAGGGGGCGTTAGCGGCATGGTCAAGTCGGATCCTCTAGGGCAGACAAGCTTGCGCGCCCGGTTTTATCGCAGGGCATGGAAGAAGCTGGGGGCTAAGCTCGACCGACGCGCGCGTCCATGGCCTTCTTCAGCATCGGCAATGTAGGGCGAGACATGGGGGACGCGATCTCAGCTCCACATCCGGCATTTCGCTCGGCGCTCAAGCGATTGAGGGAGCCGCGGTTCTTGGCGGTGTTCTTGGCATGGAATCTGGCCGCCATAGCAGCTGAGGTGGGATCAGGGATCGCGGCATTCGAACTGTCGGCTCCCAAGCTCCAGCACCGAGTGTGGGAGACGATCGTGTTTCCCTTGTCGCTGCCTCACGCCGTGGCGATGGCATTCCTCGCGAAGAGGGACCATCGCGTGCTCGCGGGCTGTTTTCTCGGCTTCTACGGCGTGGAGATGTACTACTGTGGCATGGGAGGAGGCGATCGAAGAGGATTCACGGCCTTGAGGCTTGTGATCTTGTTCGTGGTGGCATCGCTCCAAGCGGCAGAGACGTACCTGTGTAGCTGCTTGCTCCGGAGATTCCTTTGCCTTGAGCAGTCCAAGGTGGTGCCGACGATCGATTCCAAGAGAGACGCGATGCTCTTCTTCGGGATCGTCGTGACCATCTCCGCCATCTTTGAGGCATCCGTGGCGCTCGTCGCCAGCGTTGGACGACTGGTTCTCTGGGCCGATTTCATGCCATTTTGGATGACTTGGTGGCTGGGAGTGGTGGCTGGGATCATCACCGTGTCTCCATTTCTCATCCACTGCTTGGTTTGGAGGCCGCAGAGGAAGTTCCTCAAGCCCGCGAAGATGGTCGAAGGTTTCGCGGTGATGGTGGTGACTCTGGGACTCTTGGTCGTGATCTACACAGTGACCATCTACACTTACTTCAAGCCGCTGCCTTACTTGATCTTCCCGGTGATCCTCTACACGTCCTTTCGGTTCAACAGGCTCGGCTGGGCTTTGGTGGTGGCTTCGTCTTCCTTGTTCGTTGCTTGGGCGACCGTGAGGAGGAAAGGCGCTCTTTACAGCATCTCCGGGGCCAGCCGCGTGGAGCCCCGGCTGTTGATCCAGATCGAGCTCTTTGTGTCCGTCGGTGCGCTTGTGGCGATCTCTCTCGCGGCTGCTGTGAGGGAGAAGCGCCACCTTTCCAAGAAACTCGAGAGGCTCAACGAGAGACTCGAGGTTCTAGTGCTGCAAAGAACTACTCAGTTGCTTAAGGCGAACGAGGAGTTGACGGCCTCTCGGACGGCCGCAGAACAGGCAAGCCAGGCAAAATCAGACTTCCTTGCGAACATGAGCCACGAGATCAGGTACTCTCCAATCTTTTGCATTGCCTTGTAGTTAATTTTCTTTCTTCTGGGGCCAGGACTCCGATCCATGGAATACTCGGCATGTCGGCACTGGTGCTGGCCACCGGTCTTACTGAAGAACAGAGAGATAACATGACCACTGTCAAGGACTGCGCAGATATGCTGCTACACCTTATCAACGGGATTTTGGACGTTGCTAAGATCGAGGCTGGTCGTTTTGAGGTGGAGCTCGTGTCCTTCAACCTTTGTCATGTTATCAAGAGCACTTTGCACATTCTGGAGCCCCGCGCAAGGGAGAAGCGGCTCCGGCTCAAATGGGACGTTGATGCTAGAGTTCCGACTGTTTTAGTCGGGGATTCCGGGAAGCTGAGACATTGTCTACTGAATCTTGGTGAGTTTTCTTGGTTGTTTGCTCATTTCTGTGCTGAAAAGTGTTGTTTTACTTGTCTAGTTGGAAATGCACTAAAGTTTACTCACCAGGGGTATGTCCAAGTGACGGTTGCTCCATACGTTGACGGGCTGTATCCTTCGGTGGATCCAGAAAGCACTGACCGAGTTATGGGGCTCACGGAAAGAAAGTTCGTTTTTGTACCTCACTGCACTATCAAGAATCAACCGCGAACGGTATCCGATGGTGCACAGATGAAGCTGGTGTTTAGAGTATCTGACAGCGGTATTGGGGTCAGCAGAGACAAGCTCTCAAATATCTTCAAGCCGTTCACTCAAGCAGACCCCTCGATCTCTCGCTTGTATGGAGGCACGGGACTGGGTCTTTGCATCGTCCAAAGGTACGAAGTTTCTAAGATTCAACTTAAAAAGGAAATCCTCATCCAAGATCCTGTTTAACAGAAGTCACGATTCACAGATTTGTGGAGCTTATGGGAGGTCAAATATGCGTTGAGAGTGAATATGGTACGGGCAGCACCTTTTGTATCCTGCTTCCATTTTATTTGATCGAAGGAACCAGAGTCGAAGAGACATCAAACTACGAAGCACCAGAGGCGCCGAGCGAAACTGCAGGTACAGAAATGAGAAACTCTGCACTGACATTGTCTATAATTCAAAAACTTGCAGTGGATGAAAGTAAAGTCATGGCCTCGCCAAACGAGGAGCTTATAATGCCATCACCAACAACACCAAAACCAACTATAAAGCCAGCTAAAACCTCCCCGACTACGACGCCGCCGTTGTCACCCACAAGAAAGCGTGTACTTCTCGTGGAAGACAACTTAGTGAACCAGAAAGTTGCATCACGACTGCTGCAAAAATACGGTCATGTGGTGATCACGGTTACAGATGGGCTCGAAGCTGTCGAGGCGCTCAAGTCAGATCACAAAGCATACGATCTCGTGCTCATGGATATACAGGTTTGTTCATTTCCATTCACTCGTTTAGACTCAAACAGATTTAAACCTCGGCTGTGCTCGGTTGTTGTCTTTTCTCGATTTACAGATGCCTGGAATGGATGGTTTGGAAGCAACACGGCGGATAAGAAAGGACGAGTTGGGCTCTGGGTGGCACAAGATCCCGATTATAGGACTCACGGCAAACGCAATGAAAGGCTACCAAGATATATGCTACGAAGCGGGTATGGATGGTTATTTGCCAAAGCCTTTCGATATCAAACAGGTGCTATCGACTATACGCGATGCCTCTATGTCTAAGGAGACACGCATTGACATCAAGGACGATTGAAGAAAGCGCACGCTTTGGAGAGATGTATATAGATTCTTTTTTGTTTCGTTCTCTCTTTTTTTTTGGGAACAAATGGCCAGAGACGAACCACACTTGAAGATTTGGTCACTTGAAAAGTTTTTCTCAGTCAAAAAAGTTAAAGATCACTTGCAAAACGCTGAAGAACACGCGCTTGCCTTGAAAACAAGCGGACAGGGAGAAATGTACATGGATTCTTTTTTGTTTCGTCTTTTTAAAAGCTCTCTGCCTGCTAGAGACAACTTGAGAACAGGGAGTTCAAAGAAAGTTTTATATTACTCAAAAAGTTACGATCACTCTAAAGCCTTCCACAATTCTTGACGAGTTTCTAGATCAAATATGAAAACATTTCCTTCCCCTCTCACAACCAAACATGTTGTCACTCTGCAATTATTTTGTTGGAGGTGTGCAAAGCATCCACTCACAGGGTTGCGAAAGAGCTTAATCACCCAGAAAGGTGCTCCACCTTTTCTTGTGAAGACCAACTTACAATCCTTGCAACACGTAAAACTCCAACAACACTTTCATCATTGCCATTTTGCTTTTGATTTTGGAATGCTATAGCTTTGCTACTGCTAACTTGCACATACGCAGATGGTGGTGACTGCTGATTTCCATAGACTAGGTAATAGTGTATATAGAATGTTAATTCAGTATTTATTTCAGTGCAGTATCTTGTTAATCCACCTCCGTCAAGAGACATTTTGGTTCGTGTTTGAAGTCAGATGAAAAGACTTTTGCCATCATATTCAAGAATATGGTGGATGATAATATTAATAGAAGTTTGGAAGCTCATCTTATTATATACATCTCTTCTACATGCAAGAAAAAAAAAACTTGTTTTCTGAAATTGATGGTAATTGAAAATTCTATTACTATAAGTAAATACAAAGCCATAAAGAAGGTTTTAGAATAAATAAAACTTAATGAGAAAAAATATATTGCTATTAGAACTTATAGAGCTTTTGTTATGGTTGGAGAACAATATAATCTAGTGATAAGATTAAAACAAGACATTTCATACTTGTTTAGAGTGCATTAGTTTATAGATAAAATTTAGTGGCTATTGAAGCTTTGCATGCATTTGTGGCTATTGAAAAGCTATGCAATCAAATTTATAAATGGTTGGATACTTTTAAAAAAAGAGTCATGAACTTTTAGGCTTCTAGATTGTATACTTCAAATAAGCTTAGATTGTGATCAGTTTAAATTTGACAATCTTGTTTATAAGTTGAATACTTCTTATTGACATCATTAAATATATGACTTTCATAAGCAATAATATCTTTAGTTACTTTCTTTGGAAGTGTTATCTCTATAATGGTCAACCTTTTATGGTTTATAGTGATTATAATCCATTACACTATTTTTGCTCATAGAAGGATTTAAACGTTTGATATGCACATTGGAAATTTTTCTTTGAAAAAATTTTTGATATAGAAATTTGCAATAGGAAGGAAAACAATAGTTGTTGATACTATTTATAAAATTTTGTGTTTGAATTCCATCGCAAAAGTTAATAATACTTTACTTAGGAGATCAAAAGTAATTTTTATATACACAAGAACATTATATTTCCTTCTGTATTTTAAGATGGATTACTCTTTTAAAAGGGATATATTTATATACCCAAGATAAAAGAGCTTCATGTCATGTATAAATTGCATAATAGTCTTTTTACTAAACATTTCAAAACTTATAAATTTATAAATTTTTAATTTAACTAGAAGCACAAGTTCTAGGCTATATTGAGTCATATGCCTTATGTTAGGCCATAAAGGCTGAACATATTACTGCATTAGAAAACTTCCATTCACTTGAAATTTCTAAGAAATATTGGAAAAGTATTTCTATGGATTTTATTCTAAGACGCTTAGAAAGAATAAGAATATTTTTATTAAAATTAATCAAAATATATATATACAACAGAAGAAGACAAAATACTTATGGAAACTTGGAACTCACAAAAACAAACAAATGAAAAAATAAATATTTTTTGGCAAATCATCAAGCTTGTATAAGCCCATGCTAACCATTTGCATTTAATCTACTTTCTGCATTGAAGATCCAAGAACAGGGAGTACTATATCAGATGAAAAACTTAAAAGAAGAGTATATTATATTAGAAGCAAAGAAAGAAAATTATATAGACCTCAAAATGATGTCTCCATACACCACCCATGGAAAAATAATTTTAAAATCTATGAACTTACTAAAATAATGAGGTAAAACGATTATATAATCTTTATAAAAGCTCTAAATAAAATAAAAATAGGAGAACAAACAAATAAAGAGCTATAATATATAAATAAACAAGTCATCACAGATACATATAACACCCCTCTTAGTACTACTAAGGAGTTAACAGAGAAATGATATAAAATTTAAGGTTCCCAATCCAAATCCTAGGTTCTTGTTATCAACATATCTATTTTATCTCCAAGAATTTTTTTTTCCTGTGTATGAGGTAGTGGATCCTAAGAATTTGACTTTTACTCATATACAAATCCAACTTCAAGGCATTTGTTCTCCCCTTTTACATGTATTTTTGGAGCACCAAACAGCATTAATCTAGTGTGCAAGCAAGTAGCTCATGCTTCAATGGTCTAAGCTATCATACTTAACATGTACTTAGTCATTTGTAAAGTCCCCAATCTCAATTTTCTTCTAGCTCTCAATAAGACATTGGAACATGCCATAAGTGCCAAAAAGCTATAGTTAAACAGAAGACAAAATTGCTGCTGATTTACTAGTTGATTTCTCCTAAGCATGGAACAACACTCCTTCATTCACCTGCGACACTACCAAATTCCACTATAAATGTTCCATCTGTATAGATGCTAGTCTTAGTGATGGCCTGAGAAAGGAACTTTGAATGCTATCTATCAGGACCCATAGAAGAAGCCCAGGCCAACCCATGAACTATAGTAATCCTTAGATTCCCACAAATTGGAGCATTCATTTGGAGCATGTGCTCAGTAGTGCTTGCTTTAGTTTTTAACACTCTCTCACAAAATATTCACCAGGTGTGCAAAAAAAAGTGACGTCTCTATGGTTGAAAGTAGTGAAAGCCAAGAGAAGTGCCACAAGACTTGTGGAGAAGTGAGATGTAAAACCTAAAAAAGTTTTACCCTACTTGAAGGAAACATCCCAACTACAAAGGTACAGCTTTATTGCTTGCAAGTTCTCTTGGAGAGAGCAAAAACCCAAGTGCTCCCTCACTCCCCCTAGCCCAGGGTTGTGTAATGAGCCCATTGGCCAGCCTAACATTGCAAAGATTTTTCAAAATAACACATGGTTAAAAAACAAATTTATTCCCCTCTAATTGGCTAAATCTAGCAGCCCACAAAATTCAACAATTAGCCCATTGACTAAGCAAACATGGAGGAAATATTTCCCAAAACTATATAATCTGAAGCTCCCTTGGGTAGATTTTATTTTATTTTTATTAATGAAACCTAAATCATTGAAATCAGTATCATATACTATATATATGATATAATATATAAGTTTATAATATATTATAAAAAGTTATATATATATATATATAAAACTTTTTATAACAAATCTGGGATGGAATACATTGATGTTTAGTTTGACCAGAAAAATATAAGCATTAGTAAATCATCAAAATAGCTTAATATAATCCATACTTTTTGATGGGTGCTAGGAGACATTTTAAATATCTAATGAATGAATTTGATATAAAGCCACCTTACAGAATTAAATTAAGTATAAACATCATCAATATGGCTAATTCTAATGTGCCTAAATAATATGATCTCAAAATTAAAAGGTAATTAAGTTTTTCATTTTGCAGAGAATTTTTTATTTTTTTTTACCCTGCTAGAGTTTCTTTCATTGTGCAAGATAAAATGTATATAAATATTTATATAACTAATTCAATCACATAAAATCCTTCTCTCCTTTTGATGTCATGCATTATAAATATGTCCCAAGTTGATCTTGTTGTAGTCATTATCACCATTTAAATAAATGAACATTAAATTAACTAAAGTTCCAATCTTTAGAGAGCATCTTAAAATAGTTTTCAGCTAATTTTGACCAAAAAAATCACATTCAGCATAAGTAAATCAAGAAAATGATTTTCTACAGTTCCATCAAATTAAAACATATATGTATCATGCAAATATCATCTTTACAAATCCCTTATCAATAAAAGTACTATAATAGTTTAGTAAATCATTTGTAACAATTGTTATTCAACTCTTCTTCATCATTTGAGTAATTTTTTGGGCTGAATAGTTTTGTAACATTGAAAATGCTTATATCCTTACTCATTTTGGTTAGCATATCAACATATAGTTTCTAAATAAATCTAAGCAAGAGCTCAAACTACCATCTTTTGTACTTTTTGGAATAAAAGTATAATCTAAGCCAAACATCTACAAACTTGATAAATTCATCTCTAGTAGCTTTTATAAAATTACTTTTGTGTTTTATACCAAAAGTCTCTTTCAGAAATTTTCTTCTGATACTTTTCAGAATACCATCTAAATATCTAACAATGTAAGTAATATCCACAATTTGAATGAAAGAATTTATTTAAATTATTCAATTTTAGTATATCTTCACAATAGAGGATTTTGCAAGAAGAGCTAGCATTATGATGATCATTCTTTCTAAGACTTTCCTATGAGATAACTAATGTACACCATAAACATAATATATGTATATTCTGGTCAAGATGAAATCTAACCATACTCTAGATTTCATATATGTTCATCTGGTAGAAATTAGATATTAGTTGTTAAGTGTGGAGACATGTGGCCAAATATCAAATACTAGTGATTTGAATGCTTTTTTTATTACCTAAATCATTCCGTCATGTTAAGTGTATCACCTCTAGAGTAATAGACATGAACTTAGTGATAGTCACGATGAAACCTAATTATACTCCAGACATGTATACTTAGACAAAAACAACCACGATAGTCATGATGAAATCTAATTATACTCCAAACTTATACATATCTATGACAGAATTAAAAGTTTTATATCTAAATACTGAGCAATTTGACTATAAGGATTTAAATAATAGTGCAGTTGTATCAGCTTTGAAATTGTCATTTGACCAATCACCTACATTTACCTTGTTTACGTGGCATTTGCTGGAAGTGACACGTTAGCAGACCTAACGGAGAGCCATTCTTACCCGGCGGCGAGGGGCCCCAAGAGCGCTCCTTCGCGATCGATCGAGAAAGAAAGAAATCAAGCGAAGCGTGCGGTGGGGGCTAGATTTTCTTGGATCGATCGTGCATGGTAGGGGGCGATTCCTCGTGTTCTTGTCAGTCATCAGTGAAATGCTGGAGGTAATTCTTGCTAGATTTCTCCCAGGGTTTGAGGCGAGGCCGCGATCGCGATCCAGGCCGGGGATTATGGGGTTGCTGCTGGTAAATCTGACCAGATTTCTGTGCGATCTCTATGATCTCGCCAAGAAGATGATGTTGTGGACGGTGCTGCTGTCGTGCCTCCCGCTGCTCTTGCCTTATCTCTCCATCGCCTCCTTCATCGGCTTGGCCGTGTTCTTCCAGGCGGCGTGTGGTGCGTTGGGGCTAGCGCTGCTAAGAGCGCTCCTCTTGACGTGTTTTTCAAACCAAAGGAATCAGGGAAGTGTGAAGATCTCTGCCAGAGTCCGAGCGCTGGTAGAGGAGGATCTAAGAGTGGCCGCTGCGAGCTTTGACGCGTTACTAGTTCTTGGGGAAAGAGAGAGAGATGTTTATAACGGAGGAGCTCGAGAAGATGGAGAAGAAGCTGTAGGATCTAGTGATGGGGAAGGAACTAGAGACAGGATAGATGATCGTGAAGCTCGGGAGGATGATCATAACTTGGAAGAACTGGAAGAACAAGGTGGTGATGCTTGGATCGAGGGTGATAGTATCGACGAACATGGTAATGTTGGCCTGGAAAAACAAGATGGTGATGCGGACGTCATAGTGCAGGAGTTTGATGATCCGATGGTAAGAAATCCAGAAGAGCAACACGATGATCATGGGATAAGAAACTGGGAAGCACATCATGATCATGGGATAACAAACTGGGAAGCACATCAGGAGATCTTGAGTTTGCACGATCAAAAGGAGGCTTTTCGAGTGACAACCTCGTCGTCAAGCAACGAACAACGCTTTGATGATGATAAATCGCTTCTCTTCAAAGATGGCCAGGTAGTGATGGTGGATTCTAGCCAGGAAACGCAGGAGGCCAGATTCCAGGAGGCTTTTCGCGAGAAAGCAGATGAATCCGTGACAAAAATCTCCAGGCAGCACTCGGGGGATAATTTGGAGGAAGAACATCCTTTTCTAGCAGCAGGACAGGAGAGCGAGACAAAAGAATCTCGTCGCGTAGCAAGAGCGGGACAGGTTCATGACGACGAGAGCTTGCCATCTTTCTCGAAAGAGTCAAGACTTCCAGTTTCGATCGGGGAGGACGATGCAAAGGAGTGCATGAAGGTGGTGGAGTTTTGCTTGAAACAAGCTGGCGACTACTACGACTATGGCTGCGAGAGCTTGGAAGAAGAAGAAGAAATCATCGACGAGCCTACGTCCCCAAGAGCTCAGTACAATCGTGACGAAGAACAGGATATATTTCTCCAGGAAGTCATATCGCCAGGATCGTGCTCGAAGCTCCACAGCTCGATCACAGGGTCCTCCGGATCGTCAGAAACTACTCCACAGCCTGGAAGAAATCTCCGAGGCTTCGAATTTTCCCAGAGCAGCCCCAGCAGCGCTGCGGCTGGCAGCAGACGAAGAACTTATAGCTACAGCAGCAGCGCTGGGAAGTTGCGAGAACTTCACGACTTTGGGATTGATTTGCGCGACCAGATCCGAGCGCTGCGAAGTTTTCCTCGATCGAGCTCTGAGGCACGGATGGAAGAAGGCGTGAGCAGCTGTAGCAGTAGTAGCAACGAGGATTTGGATCTCCCTGGCGTAAGTTCTTTTCTTTTCTTGCAAGTTCTCACTCACTCTCTTCCTTTTTCCAGTTCCAGGAGGTTCTAAGATTTTGGCGAGAGAGAGAGAAAGGTCTGGAGTTGCGTAGACGAAGAAAAAATCTCTTTGGAAGATAAAATAAAAGGTTCGTGTCTTAGATGATACTTCGGAAAAAAACATTTAGGGTTTTGTGAGCGATGAATCTATCGCAGGAATCGCTGGAGCGCGCTGTGTCGACGCCTGCGTCGACGCTCACCCAGGAGCAAAGGGATCGAATGCATCGGCAGCGAGAGCTCGCGATCGCGAGGAGAAATGCGAGGCTTGCGAGTCAAGCTTCCCCGGCCGCGATGGAGTGGAGTCCTGCGCGGCAAGGTATCGAGAATGTAGGGATTACGGAGGACTGGATCGATCTAGGCGAGCATTTTGGGGGTAGAATCGATCCAAGCAAGATAGAGCTGGAAGACTCCATCCACAAGAGGGAAGGCGATCGCAGGATTACGATGTCGCTGGAGCAGCTGCGGGTTCTAGAGGCGGTGGCCGCGAAGAAATCGGTGTTCGTCACTGGATCGGCGGGAACAGGAAAGAGCTTCATCCTCGAGTACGCGATCAAGGTTTTGCGAGAGTTGCACGGGGAGTTCGCGGTGTTCGTCACGGCCTCCACTGGAATCGCGGCGTGCTCGATTGGCGGGACCACGCTCCATTCATTCGCGGGCGTGGGGTTGGGGCAGCTGGATGAACGCCGGCTCGCGGCGGCGGTGATGGCGAGCAAGGAATCGCGATCGCGGTGGACGACTGCCAAAGCACTGGTGATTGACGAGATCAGCATGATCGACGCGGAGCTCTTGGACAAGATCGATTACGTTGGGAGGGCGGTGAGGAATCGGCCGGAGAGATTTGGGGGCTTGCAGCTGCTTGTCACTGGCGATTTCTTCCAGCTCCCGCCCGTCCAGAAAGCTGGCGAGACCAAGAACTTTGCGTTCCAGGCGCGGTGCTGGAGAGAGTGCTTCGATCTCCAGATGGAGCTCACGTACGTGTTCCGACAATCGGACAGGAACTTTGTGGCGATCTTGGATGAGATCCGTCGTGGGCGATGCTCGCCGTCGACGATCGAGTCTCTCAAGGCTTGCAGTGTGGTGAGCGCTGCTTCATCGTCTTCTCCTCCTCCGACGCGGCTCTTTCCTCATCTCCAGAGCGTCGATCGAGTGAACAAGGAGAAGCTTGCCGCACTGGGTGGCGAGACCGTGACTTACATCGCTCGCGACGTTGGAAAGATCCATCTTTTGAGCGGCTGCCGGGCCGAGAGCCAGATCACTCTAGCCGTCGGCGCGGAGGTGATGCTCGTCAAGAACATCGACACACTGGGAGGACTGGTGAACGGAACCAGAGGCGTCTTGGTGGATTTCATGGTCCCAGAGTCTCCAAAACGAGATTTTTCTTCGCAAGAACACGAAGAACAGGGAGCACGGGGAAGATACTTCTCTTGGCGAGACGGCAAAGGCAAGGAAGAACAGGGAGGAGAGAAACGAGATGTTGAGCGCCGTGAACAGCGGCGGTGGCCAGTGGTGGTGTTTCGGATTCGTGGAGGGCTTCGGAAGATCGTGGTGAAACGCGAGAGCTGGAGCGTGATGGATGGAGAGAAAGAGGTGGCGACGAGGTGCCAGATTCCTCTCATCCTGGCCTGGGCTTTGAGCATCCACAAGTGCCAGGGGATGACGCTGGATCTGGTGGAAACGGACTTGACGCGATCGTTCGAGTGTGGGATGGTTTACGTCGCGCTCTCGCGGGCCAGGAGCTTGGAGGGGATCCGGCTGCTGGGATTCAATGCCTTGAAGATCAGAGTTCATCCCCTCGTCGTGGAGTTCTACCATCAACTCGAGGAAAACGGAAGAGCAGGAAAAAGAGATTTTTATCGCATCAGCGGTAAGCTACTATCAGACCTTGGTGTTAGTCTAACAGTAAGATCGAAACTTTGGTGTTCTTACAGATCCCGGTACTGCTGCTGCTTGAGTGGATTCGGTCATCACGAAAGTAAGTTCGTGTGATCTTGCAAGAACTTGTAGCTCATCGAGTTATAGATTGGTGCTGGGAGCTATTTGGATTGATCGGCACAAGGAAGTAAGTATGATTTTAATTGGAGGAGGCTTTGTTCGAGTTTGTGATGATTTTGCGTGTGTAGAATCCCGCTCCTATCGATCAAACTTGCGAAGCTTATCCAAGTTATGAGACACTTAGCACTAAGTAACAAACTTGTTTGGACGGCTTGGATTGGAGGGATCCTGGCCGTTGGTGTGGCCTTCCTTCTTGACCGTTGGGGTTAAGAAAAAAACGCTGGGGAACGTCAGGCTGGAATCCAACCGTTGGGATCGTGCCATTTACAAGGAGGAACTTTAGGGTTTTTGGTTGAGAGGAATGCGCTTCTTCTCTCGCGAGGCGTGGATGGATGACGACGAGGCGCCGATCGATGTGATGGTCTTCGATCGCTGCTAAGGTGATATTTCGGGATTTGGAGAGCGCATTGCTAGAATGTAGGCAGTCTGGGGTATTTCGATCGCATTTTTCTGGTTTCGCGAGCACAGCTTAGACGATCGATCAATATTTAGCTTCATCTAGCCTGGATCGATGGATTCTAGCCTGGATTGATCGATTTCAGGTGGATTGTGAGAGATCGAGGCACATTGCGAAGATTTCCATCGTCTATGCAAGCTCTGATCAGCATTTCTTTCTATTGTGCCAGGAATCGAGGACATGGGGTGCGTTTCATCGCGTTGTCTCTACTGTACACCGACATCTGGGAGCGGCAATTTTAGGAACTACCACCATAGCAGCAGCAGATCCTCACTGCTAAGGAGCGTCTCCACGCCATTGAGAAAGCGGCGATCTCGCGGCGGTGGACATCACCACCACCACTTTGTTGCGCTCACGTCCACAACCTATGGTCTACTGCGATGGAACAGCAATAACAACAACACTAGCAACAACATCTCCTCGTCCCCCTCGCCAGCTCCCACGAACTACGAAGATTGCTACTCGTCTCCAGCGATCACGAACTATGAGGACTGCACGGACAAGGAGGTGGTGGTCTCGATCAATCCAGCTCCAGCTACTGGGAATGGAAGTCGAGGAGGAGATGGAGGGGGGGCGGCTTTTCTTCCTCCTCAAACTTGTACTTCCATAGACGTCTCCGGCGCATCGGTGGCTTCATCGTCCTCGACAGCCTGCTGCGCCAACAAGCTCGTCAGCTGTGACAAGATCAACAAGCCCGTGGAGCCACCGGAGGTGATCAACATCTGGGAGCTCATGGACGGGCTCGAGGAGGACTGCTCGAGGTCACTGCTGCTGAGCGACAGCTGCTCGTCGCCAGCCTCGGCATCGCTGCGAAAGAAGAGCCCTTTCCTCTCGGCTCGCCACGCGGGGAAGAGGCGCCTGTACCACCGCTCGGTGTCCTGGTCGGCGGCCATGCACTCGGCCAAAAAGCTCGACTCCATTCTCACCATCGATGGGATATCGCCCGCTGCGCTCGAGAAGGTGCTCAAGGAGATCTACAACTTCTACGTAAACAGCCGGTGCCGGAACCGCAGCTGCGGCAAGCTCTTGTCCAACTCTCCTTCTGCTCGTGTCGTTCCCAGTGTTCCAACTGCGAAGAAGACCAACGCCGCCTCCACTGGCACCAAGAAGGCCAAGAAAACGGCCACCTTTGCGTCCGGGAACAAGGAGAACAGCGCGCCAAAGTTTGATCGGACTCCTCGCAAGCAGCAGCAGGGGCCGAGCACGCCGACGAGAACGCCATTAACTTCTCTGGTGACGAGGAAGGGGCCGGGAGAGGAGCTGTCACCTTTGTTTCGACGAGGGAGCAGCGTGGCGGAGAAAAAATGCGGCCTTGGGATGAGAAGGCCGTGTAAGTGCTGCTGCTATTGCTCCACCACCGACAGAGGCCAAAGGAAGCAAAACGAGTACCTTGTGGGCGGTGACGGTGGCGCTAGTGGGGACATAAAGAGCCCCATGCACGCGAGCGGGCCTCTGTTTGATCCGGAGCTCCTGGCCTCGATCGAGCGAGCTTTCCAGAGCCTGTCCGCCGAGGAGTGGTGCTCCGGGAAAGAGGACGACTTAACGACGACAGCTGGGACAGCAACAGCTTACTCCGATGAATCGAGCAACGAAGAGGCGCCACTCATCAAAGGGCCGCGTTACAACTCCATCCCGGCCAAAGGCAGCGGCAAAGGTGGCAGTACCGCGAAGTCTTCTCCCTCGTCCGGCCTGGTGCTGTGGGACAGCTTCTGGACGTTCCGCGACAGCCTCGCGGCCTCGGGCACGGCCAAGAAGATCTCCTTCTCCAAAGTTCTCGCGTCTCCAATGGAGAAGATGGGACTCCTCGACAGCGAGGAGGACGAGGACGATGCAAAGGATCCTCTGGAGCGATTCGAGTTGCGGTGCCCGCCAGGGGGAGAGAACAACGTCGTCCTCTACTGCACCAGCCTGAGGGGGATCCGGAAAACTTACGAGGAGTGCCACGGCGTCCAGATGATCCTGCACAGCCTGGGGGTCTACATCGACGAGAGGGACGTTTCCATGCACTCGGACTTCCGCCTGGAGCTGAAAGAGCTGCTGGACAACATAGAGCCCGCGGCGGCGTGCTGCGTTCCACGGCTGTTTATCCGGGGGCGCTACATTGGTGGCGCGGAGGAGGTGAGGAGGCTACATGAGGAAGGCAAGCTCGTGAAGATGCTTGAAGGGATCCGGAAGGAAGACCCGTTTAGCGTCTGCGATGGCTGTGGCGGGCTCCGGTTCATTCCCTGCCTCGAGTGTAGCGGGAGCTGCAAGCTGGTGGTTCGTGATCTTCCCAGCGGGATGAGCCAGGTGAGCCGCTGCCCGGATTGCAACGAGAATGGACTCATTCGCTGCCCGATTTGCTGCTAGCGCATCCCGGACTCTCTCTCCACAGGTTTGTCGTGTGAAGTTCGCTCGTCCTTGGTGGGTGATCTAATAGCTCTCTTCCTCTGGCAGCTTTTGTAAAGTAGTAGACGATGGACGCAGTTTTCGCGAGATCGATCGACTCTCTCTCTCGATCGAGGCAGTCAGGAACTCTGGATGGGGAATCAAATCGCCAAAAGGTGGAAGTTTAGGCGAGCTTCATCCATTGACAATCCACAAGAAGGATTCCAGCCAGCCAGCCAGCCAACTTTCTTGGTGGATGGAAGATCTTGGAAGTTCGTTTATCTATTGACAATCACCAGCCAGCCAGGAACTCCCAACTCTTCTTGGTAGATGGAAGTCTCGTCAAGTAAGTAACTTCTCATTCACATTGACAAGCCGCAAAGCTTCTCCAGCAACACGAACGACTGGCTGCTACCCGGATCCATCTCCAACGCCGCTCTCGCAACCCGGGCACCGGCTCTGGCATCGTTGTGACTCCCAGCAGCGCCCAGCAAGCACAGGCACCAGTCCGGGCTCTCTCCACGCTCCTCCACCGGCATTCCCAGCGCCACCTCCTCGGCCTCGTCCAATCGCCCAGCACGGCTTATCAGATCGACCACGCAGCAGTAGTGGATCCTCCCCGGCGCCACGCCATAGTCCAGCTCCATGGAAGCGAACCATCGGCAGCCACTGGCAAGATCCCCGGCATCGCTCACCGCCACCAGCACGCACAGCAGTGACGCTCTCTCTGCCGCGACGCCCTCCATTTGCATACACTGGAAGAGCCTCGCCGCGCCACTGGAGTCTCCACTGTGAGCTACCGCCGCGAGCATGGAGCTCCACGAGATGATATCCCTCTCGGGCATGGCGAGGAGGAGAGCCCTGGCTTTGGAGAGATGCCCCCTCCGGGCATATGCCACCAGCATCGCTGTCCACGCCGCAATGCCCCGGCTGGGCATCTCGTCAAACACGCCCTTTGCGCGGTCGAGGTCCCCGTCCTGTGCGTGGCCCGCGAGTATAGCCGTGTACGCGAAGAGGCTTCTCTCCGGCATAGCGTCAAACACCGCCCTGGATTCTTCCACTCGGCCGCGGCGTGTGCAGGCCGTGAGTAGCGCCGTCCATGACACTAAGTTCTTCTCTGGCATCGCGGAGAAGATCTCCCTGGCTTGGTCGATCTCGCCACTATGCGCGTAGCCGGCTAGGATCACTGTCCATGATACCAAGTTTCTCTCTGGCATTGCATCAAACAGCCCCCTGGCCTCTGTGATGGAGCTGCCGGCTTGAGTGTAGGCTGTGAGCATCACTGTCCAGGAGACCACGTCGCGTTCTTCCATGGCGGCGAAGAGCTCTCTAGCCTGGTGGAGATGCCCGGACTGGGCATACGCGGCGAGCATTGCTGTCCAGGAGACCAAGTTCCACTCTGGCATTGTCTCGAAGATCAGCTTCGCGTTGTCTGGATACTTGGTGGACGAGGAGAGATCCAGCACTGTATTCCACGAGATTAAATCTCTCTCCGGCATGCTGGCGAAGAAGTCCATGGCTTGCTGTGGGTACCCGTGCTGGGCGTATGCTGATAGCATGGCGTTGTGTGCCACCAGGTTGTTTGCGTGCGGCATTGCATCGAAGACCGCCTTGGCCTCCTCCAGATGCCCGTTCCTGGTGCATGCGCAGAGCATTAGTACCCATGAGAAGGAGTTCTTTGGATGCAAAGAGTGGAAGATATTGCGTGCCTGGTCGACACTGCCGCATCTGCCGAACATCTGAATGAGGTGATTGGCCAGGAAGACGCTGCAGTTGCTGGGCTGGACGAGGCGGTGCAAATCTCTGGCTTCTTGGAGCGTGTTGCACGACTTGATAGCACCGAGAAGCTGAGAATCCATCCATTTATCTATCAATCTGGGAAGAAGTTACATTGGCTGTTAAATGCTGTGGTTATCAATCTGCGAAAGGAGAGAAAGTGTTGGTTACTGATGGATAGAGAGTTGTGAAATGTTTCTTACCTTTTAGTCGATTGTGATGAAATCGTAGACTCGTTTCAATCTAATGAGATTGAGAAAGAATTCGTCAGCTTCGATGTCAGTGCACTTCATCTGCGTTATTCTTAGCCGAACTTTCCTCAAGAGCGGGCTCCAACTTATCATACTCTTCAAGACTTGCAGCTTCCTCTCTGCATTGAGAGGCGATCTAATGGTTATGTTTGCTTCTTCTAACCACAGAGCAAGCGGAGGAGTGGCAATCTACAAAAAACAAAAAAGATGTCAGACTAAGAGCAATGGTTTGAGTATACAAATCTACCTCCTCCTTCAGCACCAAGGAAGCAAACAATGCCCCATGGGCATCAAGCTTCTTTAACTTAGGATGGCTCGTGAGAAAATCTCCAAAGTCGATGTCGCGGAAAGGCTCAAAAGCTTCATCATCACCACAAAATTCAATCTTCATGTAGAGCGTCTCGACTTGAGTGGCAGACTGCAGCATCTTCTGGATAGCACCCCAATCCCATTGAAGACCTCTGATAGACAGGGACGCCAGAGCGGGAAGTTTTCCCACTTCCACATTGGCAAGCATTCCTGCCAAAAATGAAAACAAACACTATGTCAAAGCTGGATTGAAACAAAGAACGAATACCTGTCTGTTTTGCGATAGACAAATGCTGTAGAGACGAATCTTCCGCGATACGAATGTACGAGGCCCCCTGAACTTCAAAGACTCTGAGCTTCGGAGCGGCCACTGAGACGAAACAATTATCTCCAGATCCACAAAAATCAAGGCGGCATTTCTCCAGTTCTTTCAGCTCCACGCACACCGACCTTATCCCATCACAGCCCAGCAAAGCCAGTTCTCTGAGAGCCGGACAGGCCGCCAGAATCCCCCTCAAAGCACCGTCCCGGATCCGAGCACCCACAACCTCGAGCGTCCTCAAGCCTGTGAAACTCCTCAAGCCCACCGGAGAGTGAAGAAGAATTCCTCCCCACAGCCTCAGTGTCTCTAAGTCGCAGGAGCTGCGGCTGAGAACCTCGAGCTTGCCCACGCAAGCCTTGTCCGACCCCTCCTCCACCCGAAACTCGAGAAGCTTCAAGCTCTTGGCAGCGTGCGCTACGCATTCCATGAGCCCGGCAGAGGTAAGCGTGCAGTAGACCACGAGCTCCTCGAGCTCCGCCGTGCTGCGGACCATCCGGTTCACAAGGGCGCTCGAATGGAGCCCCTTGTCGCTGAGACTCCTTGGAAAGACCAGCCTCCTCACGCTGCCCATGAGCTCCCTCCACCTCTTGCAAACGCACGAGCACGCCGCTACGTCCTCGGCATTGCTGAGGAGGCATAGCAAATGCTGGACGATGGCGTCCGGTAGCACGTCCATCAATCCCTCCACAGCGCCAGAAAGATCTGTGTATGGAGATGCGTGAATGCGCTGGAGTGAGGTTCTCGAAATGGCCTTACCTTGCTGGGCGTCTAGCGATCCCAGCTCCATGGCGCCAGCACCAGAAAGATCTGCCGCGACGAAATAAGCTTCCATCAAACGAAACAATCTCAAATCTTCTCACCTCGCTTGAGAATCACATCTGGCAATGCGCTTTCCAACCCCAGCTCCATGGCGCCGGCACCAGAAAGATCTGCCGCGATGAAACAAGCTTCCATCAAGCGAAAAATCTCAAAATCTTCTCACCTCGCTTGAGAATCGCATCCGGCAACGCGTTTTCCAGTCCCAGCTCCATGGCGCCAGCGCCAGAAAGATCTACCGAGACGAGAACCAGTTCTAGTTCTCTAAAAGCAAAGAATCCACGCTGCTTACCTGCATCTCCGAGAAGAAAGCGCATCGATCGAGCTTCCGAGTCACGGCCTCACAGCGCAGACAGATCAAAATGCTGGGCGCTATCGCGGGACGATCGAAATATCTTGCGCTAAGCTAGGGCGAAAGCGGGAGGATGCTAAAGACTCCACCCCAAAGGCGCCAAGTACAAATTCTGGCGGGAAGCGAATCTTTTTGGTCAGGATTATTCCTTTTCCGTACAAAGTATATTCTACGAACATATACACGAGCAGTTCCCCGAGCTCCTCTCCACGAGGCGCTTGTCACGATTTATCATCGTCCGTATAAAAGGAAGCTTTTTCTTCACTTCGAGCCAGATCATTTCTACTGCGCCCCCTTTCTCTTCATACTCGAAATACTTTCTCACCTTCAAGAAAAAAAACGATTACTTTTAGTGAAAAACTCGAAAAAAAGCAGAGTTTTCTCCAACTTTAAAAAGAACAAATGGATCTCACCTCGCGAAGCCGCTGCTGCTTTTGCTTGAGCAAATCTGGAGAGATACTCCTCAAGTAGGAGCCGAGATATCCTGGCTCCAAAGCGTTGATCGAAGGAACGAAGATCGCAAACTCGGAGTAATCGAGCTCGTCCTCGAACGGGAGCTCGATGTCGTCGCTCACGATCACCGGCACGCAAACACTTACGATCGCATCGAAGAGCCGGCAAGCCGATGGAGTATCGCCGGCAGGATGCAAGCAAAACTTGGAAGTTTGCATTCCAACTTTCGCGAGCCTGCGTCCTTCGCGAGATTGCGTGCCGTGTTTCATCACCATGTCAGGCTCGACATCTAAGACTTGAAACAACTGGTCGCGGATCTTACCACCCTGGAAACAAAGAAAAAAGAGATTTTTTATCGAAAAGCTTCGGATAATTCATAGTACCTCTTTCCTGTAGCGGTTTCCCATGAAGAACAGAAGCGTGTCCCGGTCGAGAGTTACGTTTTCGTTGAAGTATGAGTCGATCCGATGAGTGTATGGAAGAACCACGTCCTTGACTAGAGAAGCTTGATCCGGCTTAAACCTCTCAAAGTCGGAGAGCAAAAGAACCGTGTTCTTGAGACGATCCCTCAGCCTTTTCAAGGCATTTGGATCCTGGCAAATCACTACGTGATCCCTTCCCTTGTTTTTCTTCCAGCTTTCCTGTTCTTCCAGCCATGCCATGAGTTCTTCCTGGATATCTTCATCACTGTAAGGATCTTCATCGTCCTCACTCTTGCCATTCCCGACCACCAAGCTCAAGGACGAGAAAAACGGCACGTAGAACACATCGGCCTCTTGCGGATTCATCACTCTCACCGACGCATCACTCAGCCTCCTGTCCTCTCCCTGTTCTAGATCGTAGAAAAGCCACCACTCGGCGCTGTGCTGCGTCCCTGGATACCTCAATCTCTTGTCGTTCCTGGCAATCCCTCTGGATCTAAGATAGCGCTCCACTACCCCGTAAGTAAATTTGCTAGGCAGATCATACATGAAGATTCTAAGAGGCCGGGACTCGCTTACCGGCAGCGCAATCAAGCTCTCGGAGGATTTGAGGTGCCTGGCAGCTGGGCCGATGCTCTGGACGACTGCCCGAGACTCGAAATAGAACACATTGCTGGCGCCGTGGAGGACGAGATAGGCGAGCAGTAGCAGCAGCGTCGGCGCCCAGATTGAGCCGCGGCGCATGAATGTGCTGAGGAAGATCTTCCGCCCTGCCAGTGCCATCAATCCCCCGCCCGCCGGAGACCCTGCATTCTCGCTCATCCGCGCGCCGGAGCTTCTTGCCCTAGCTCACGGCATTCCCTAATTCTGGGGAGCAAGAGAGACACGTGGCAGTCCCTAATTCGCCACGAGGTTTAGGGTTCTTCGATGAAGCGCAAGCGAGAGAATGGGGATTCTGGGAAGAAGGGGAAGGAGAATGGCGGCGCTGCGCATCAAGTATCAGGGATTTGTGATGGCCTGGAGAAGCGGCAGCACTCCGGGAGGAAAGATTCACGGAAGAAATCCACGAGTGTTCTAGACAAGGTATGAATCGAGAGAATTTTCTTGAATCCGATTTGCCTCTCTCCATAGATGCGGCAGAGGCTTTCTGGCGGCCAATTTCGCATGCTCAATGAAGTTCTCTACACTCGCAGGTTTGAGATCTCGATTTTTTTATTAGCTCAAAAGCTTTCTTGTTCTCAATGCAGTGGAGAAGGAGCTAAAGACTACTTTGATAAGGATCCCGACGCTTTTAAACTGGTGAGAACTGATCGAGAATCCTCGAATTCTTTTTTCTCAAGCTAACTGTATCAACTAGTACCACGCAGGATACCAAGAACAAATGTCTCGATGGCCCAAGCTTCCAGTCGATGTGATCATCGAGTGGCTAAATTCCAGAAACTCCAACTTGGTAGTCGCGGATTTTGGCTGTGGTACGTATATCAATTCCAGAGTTCTCTCTTGTTGATCGTGTTTGTTTTTTTGTGTGTGATTTCTAGGTGATGCTAGGCTCGCCAAAAGCGTCAAGAACAAAGTCTTTTCATTCGATCTTGTTTCCAATGATCCTGTAGTCACTGCGTGCAACATGGCCAGTGTAAGCTCCTTTAAAAACTTTCCACTGTTCACTGTTCCATTGTTTTGTCCATTGATCCATTGTTGTTTCTTTTTGTTCATGAATTTTCAGACGCCTATTCCCAGTTCCTCGGTGGATGTAGCAGTGTTTTGCCTCTCCCTCATGGGAACGGATTATCCAAGCTATCTCAAAGAAGCTCATCGTGTTCTAAAGGCCAAGTAAGAAGGAAGCTTTTTCTTAGGTTTTTGCTTGCGAAACTAAACTTTTTGCTGTGCCAGAGGATGGCTCTTGATAGCAGAAGTGAAGAGCCGCTTTGATCCTGCAAACCACGGCGCCGACCCTCAAGTTTTCCTCAGGGGATTGAAATCTCTTGGCTTCAGTCTCGTCAAACAGGTAAATTGCAAGTAGAAGACGTTCTCATCTCTCGATTCCTGGCAGGATGATTCGAACAGAATGTTCTTACTTTTCTACCTCCGCAAAGACAAAGACGATCGTTCTTCCTCCAAGAAACTCTCTTGGCCGGAGCTCAAACCTTGCCTCTACAAAAAGCGCTAAAAACTTTGAAAGCCCAATGATCACGGTCACGAAGCTTATTCTTTTCCGTACATGGTATATCCTATGGACAAATCCCGATTTAGGGCAACTCAATTAAACTTACAACTGTCCCAGGTTTTTTAAAATTCTTTTAGGGGGAATCGAACGATGGTCGGCGAGGCCAAATCCTAAAGACTAATTTTCCAGGTCAAGCGATGGGGGAGAGGGCGGCGCTTCCACTCCGTCGCGCTCGATTTCCTCGAAATATCGTGTCTTAAGGGCCCCCGCGATCGATCTGGGAGGAGTCTGCCCTAGGGCGAGAATGTAGCATCAGATTGCGCGTCTAGAGCAGCAGCGATGGCGGGATTTGGAGGCGTGGTGGTGTCGGATCCATCTCTGGCGAGTCAGCTCACGCAGAAGGAGCTGCGCTACTTGAAGACGCAGGTTCGCGATAGAAATTTCTCTAGCTCTCATGGTTTTTCTTCTCTTCCTCCTTTTCGTAGTTTGATTTGCTCAAAGATGACTCTGGACGGATCACCGCGGCTGGTTTGGAGCATGGCACTTCGAAGCTGGGATTTTTCCAGCAGGCGCTAACGCAAGAGGAGATCGTTGGAATCATGAAGCAGCACGATCCAGGTTTTACCGGAGGCCTGGATTTCGAATCTTTCCTTCAGGTAACGAAGGAAAAAAAATTCTAGAGAGATCTTTGGATTGACAAGTGTGGTGATTTGCGTGTGTAGATGTATTTGCATCTACAAAAGATTGGAAGCCCGAAAGTTATCGGCCCTCACCGAACCTCCGCGTTTCTAAAGGATGCCACAACAATGCTGATTCATACGATCAGTGACTCGGAGAAGAAAGCGTACGTTGATCACATCAACAGCTACTTGGCCGACGACTCCGTGTTGGATCCTGTTTTGCCGATCGATGCATCCGGGGGCGACTTGTTTGAAATTGTCAAGGATGGAATTTTGCTGTGGTAAGTGCCGCTATCTCACACGGCTATTTGATTTCTTATGGATCACTGTTTCGTTTGAAAAGCAAGCTTATCAACGTGGCGGCTCCTGGAACTATCGACGAGAGAGCATTAAACATCAAGAGCAGGCTAAATCCTTGGGAAAGAGTCGAGAATCATAAACTGTGCCTGAATTCAGCGAAAGCGGTCGGTTGTTCTGTTGTCAATATAGGAACGGAAGATCTTGCAGAGGGCAGGGTTAGTACTTCTGATCATGTGCTTTAAAGTATACTGAGACCTTTTCTTTGTCCTGCCAGCCGCATTTGGTTCTTGGTTTGATTTCTCAAATCGTGAAGGTAAGCTAGTAATCTAGACGTTAAAGTTTCTTTCTCATCATTTTGTATTTTTCTTTTCCAGATTCAGCTTCTTTCGGTTGTCAACCTGAAACAGACACCAGAACTAGTGGAGGTGCTGAACGATAGCGAGGTATGGTTTCACGATCTATGTAGATAGAGGTATTTTCTTACATTTTTTATCGTACACAGGAAGTTGAAGAGCTCCTGCATCTACCAGCCGAGAAAATGCTGTTAAAGTGGATGAACTTCCATCTGAAAAAATGTGGCTACAAGAAAGAAGTTACTAATTTCTCTTCTGATGTCAAGGTATGTCTTCGAAAAATTTGGAAACATGGTAATAGGACTTAATAAGTGAACCTTTTATGGATAGGATGGTGAAGCTTATACATTGCTTTTGCATGCGTTAGCACCTGAAAGCTGTAGCCTGGCTCCTCTGGAAAAGGATGGGTTGGAAAGGGCGGCATTACTACTGTCTCAAGCAGAGAAAATCAACTGCAAAAAGTACTTATCACCAAAGGATGTTGTTGACGGCTCTGCAAATTTGAACCTGGCATTCATAGCGCACCTTTTCCACGAGCGGTAGTAGTTTTTCTATTGAACAAGGTTGCATCCTCTTGATTTTCTGTCTCTTTTCAGAAATGGTCTGACGCTGGACACCAGCAAGGTGGCAGTAACATTTGCCGAGATGATCCAGGACGATGAGCAGGACACGAGAGAGGAACGCGCGTTTCGCATGTGGATCAACAGCCTGGGAATGGACACTTACCTTCATCATCTCTTCGAGGATGTTCGGGATGGGTAAGTTTTCTTCTTTTTAATTTTGAGCCTTCTAACATTTGAATCTACGATTGCAGATGGGTTTTGCTCGAGGTTCTTGACAAGCTAAACCCGGGATGTGTCAACTGGAAGCACGCAAACAGACCCCCGATCAAGATGCCGTTCAAGAAAGTTGAGAACTGCAATCAGGTTGTGGACATTGGAAAAGGCATGAAGCTGTCGCTAGTGAACGTAGCAGGAAACGACATTGTTCAAGGAAACAAAAAGCTCATTTTAGGTGCTTCTCGCTTACCTCAAGCTCGAAGAACTCCTAACAATTGCACTTGTTGTGCAGCTTTTTTGTGGCAACTGATGAGATATAGCATGCTTCACGTACTTAAGAAGCTGAGGCTGCACGGCAAAGAGGTCTCCGATGCGGATATTCTACAGTGGACAAATGAGAAAGTTAAGCGTGCTGGTAGAGAGTCGAGAATGGAAAGCTTCAAGGTAAGCCCGCCTTTTGTGCACGATTTCTGTCAATCTCATAAATCTTTCCTGGACCTGCGATAGGATAAAAGTCTGGCGAATGGTATCTTCTTTCTCGATCTCCTTGCTGCTGTGGAGCCAAGAGTAGTGAACTGGAATCTAGTTACAAAGGGAGAAACAGGTAGGCAAGCTTGGTTTTTGTTGTCCACCTTCATTTTTGTTGCTTTTCATCCAGACGAGGATAGGAAGCAAAACGCAAACTATATCATCAGCGTGGCACGAAAACTTGGCTGCTCGATCTTCCTCCTGTGGGATGACATTGTAGAGGTAAAGAAAGAAGATGTCTCTTCCTTTCTTTCTTAGTTACAAACTTTTGATCCATCCATTGTTTGATCCAGGTGAGGCCAAAGATGATCTTGACGCTCGCAGCGAGCATCATGCTCTGGGATTTTTCGTCCAAATCCAACAAAGCTACGGCCGCGAGCGCTGTTCCAGAGCTTGGAAAGAAAGAAGAGGCGAATGGAGCAAATGGAAAGGGCGTGTAAAGGTTGATTACTTTGGTTTTTTGGCTTTCCAGAGAGATTGCGTGAAATAGGCTGGTGTAAATTGTTTTTGTACATTGTGAGAATGTTCTATTCTTTTGCAATAAGATTCGATCAACGGCAAATTTTAGGGTTCTTCAAACTTTTGGGGTTTTTCACTGTTCTTCGTGGTAATGCGATCGATCGCTCCAAATCCACCCGACATTGAGGATCTGGACGGGCGCTGCTTCCACGAGCACGAGGTGACGAGCATCAGGAGGGATTTGCTGGATTGGTACGATAGAAACAAGCGCGATCTTCCATGGCGGCCGGATGATTTTGTGGGAGAGAATGTGGAGGAGAGAGCTTACTCTGTGTGGGTCTCGGAGATGATGCTCCAGCAAACGACGGTAGGAAGAGTGAAAGATTATTTTCCCAGATGGATGAGCAAGTGGCCGAGCTTGAGCCATCTCTCGCAAGCTTCTCAAGAGGTTTGTATACAAAGAAAAAAATCTCTTTTGTTCTTAGGATTTTTTTTTCTTCTTCTTTTTTCGTCATAGGAAGTAAACTCACTATGGGCTGGACTTGGCTATTACAGACGCGCGAGGTTCCTTCTCGAGGCAGGTATTCAAACTCTTTTTTTTTTCGCTTGTGCTTCACGAGTTCTTGCGATCAGGGAGCGAAGCACATCGTGGAAAATTCCGGGGGCATTTTCCCTCGAGATGCAGCTGAGCTGCGGCAAATCCCTGGCATTGGAAACTACACAGCCGGTGCTATTGCTTCCATTGCATTCAAGCAGGTAACTTCTTTGCTTTGTTTTCGTTGTTTTCCCATTTAAGTTCTTTTTTGTTCTTTGTTATCTCATTGCTTTGTTTTCATTGTTTTCTCACAGCCGGTGCCCGCAGTGGATGTGAATGTCATCCGTGTGATCTCTCGGCTACGAGCTATCTCAGATGCAACACGAGAGTCCAAACTTTTATGGTAAGCTTTTCGCAAGTTGGAACTCTCATGCCAAATTTTTTTCTTCCAGGAAACTAGCGGGAGAGATTGTAGACTTGGAAAGGCCCGGAAGTTTCAACCAAGCGCTCATGGATCTTGGCTCCGCGGTGTGCAAGACAAAGGCTCCTTTGTGCTCGGGGTGTCCCATAGCCGGCTCTTGCAAGGCTTTTCTTCTTCAAAAGCAGTCAGCTGACAAGGAAGTGGCCGTGAGCGTCACAGATTTCCCAGCCAAGTCCATCAAAGCGGCACCGCGAGAAGAGTTTACTGCCGTGTGCGTCGTGGAACTTCTTCCACTTGGAGACGATGGCTCGTTGTTCCTCCTCGTACAAAGGCCCGAGAATGGTTTGCTTGCCGGACTGTGGGAGTTTCCGGCCGTGTTGCTTAAAGATCCAAAGACCTCCGCCAAGACGAGAAGAACAAGCGTCAACAAGTACCTGCGAAGCTCTCTCGGCTTAAGCCTGGACAAGTCCAGTGTCAAGACTCGCGAAGAAGTTGGAAGCTACAGACATGTCTTCTCGCACATCCGGCTCAATATGTTCGTGGAATGGTTACAAATCTCCTCCACCGGTAAGCGATATAGTCTCTTATGAAGTTTCTTACCAAGTTCTTGGGTTTAGACGATAACGCTGCTATGGAGGCCAAAACACTTCCAAGAACACAATGGGTGAAGTACTCGGCTCTGGAGAAAATGGGACTCACTAGTGGCGTGAAAAAGGTAAGCAAGCAAAGCTAGTTTCTCAAAACTCTCACAACACCACCACGCAGGTTTTCTCGATGGTTTCTAAACACCGTGACAAGAGACAAGGATCCAAGAGAAAAACTCCATAGAGGGAGGGTACCTTAAGCGAAGGATTCTTACAAAGATCTATCAAGTGGTCGTCTGGCATCTGGGATTGTACCCGGTGCCACCAAAGTAAAGCCTTCCAGTCCGCTGCTCGACGTACGTATAGTAGCAATCGCCAACGTTGTCAAAGGTAAGCTGTATGAGATGCTCGCCAACCAGTTTCGTTGTTACGTTGTCAGCATCTGTGACGACGAGATCGACTTGGAAAGCAGAAAAGCCGTAGCCTGCGAGAGGGAAGAAGCCACTGCCCATCTCGGTGTACGTGTGGCGGTTCTCGTTCCACTTGTTTAAGACTCGGCCACCGAAAGAGACGATAGCGGCTCCTCCGCTGTCCATCTCGGGTAACAGGCCGAAAGGGAAGTATCCAACTTTCTCGTTATCGTTGTAGACCCACCAGTCTCCTTGACCATCCTGAGACAATGGTGGTGGTTTAGAGATCTTTGTACGACTGGAAGAATCAAATGCAATTTTTGTACCTTGAGAACAGCCAGAGCCGTAGTGTACTGCGTTCCATTTAAATCCGAGACCATGTTGTCCAGTGTGAGTCCCACAATTATGTTGGTAGAGGTTTGGATAAATCCCTGGCAATTGGTGTTGAAGCATCCAATCCGGCCGCTTTCATCGAGTATCTATCAAGCTATAAAGTCAGTCTCCAAGCAAAGCAGCGATACAAAGAGAGACAGTTACCGTCCAGCGAACAAAGAGATGAGTTTCATTGTCCTCGTACAGTAGAGGATAGACCTGGTAAAAGAGAAAAGAGAGGAACTTTACCAAAGAAGCAAAGGTACTTGCGTGCCAGCCAATTTCAATGAGGTTTGTCAGGTTGCTGGAGACCAAAGTGATTTGCGAGGCACTGTACTCGTTCGTCATCTCCACATTTGGATTCCATACGTTTAGAGACGAAGAAGCTCCGATAAAAGTCCCCAGCAAATCTCCCATCGCTAGCTGCCGTGAACGAAAAAACGAACACAAACAACCGAAGTACTAACGAAAAAGTCTAGCTTTGGAAAGAAGGGTCTTGCCTCGACGCTGCTGTTTTGAGCTCCAGTGCGAACTGCAGCCATCGCCAACAGCACCATCAGAGTCAGGAGCAATCCTCCCATCTTCGTCTTCTTCGCTGCTCGAGCTTTGCTGCGAAGAGACCATCTAGAACACGAGGGTCGGTCGCAAGAGCTTCACATTCTCATAACTTCGGCTTTGTCATGCTAGTGCCAAAAGCCTCGCGTGTAATCCCAAGTGAGACTCTTGTGACTTGTCGCAAGCCACAGCCAAGTCGTCGGGCACGCTGCCGTGCAGCGCTATAACTTCCGCCAAAACCATCTGGATGCTACTCTCGATCCCCCGGCTCCTGGCTCTTATCTCCTGGATTTCCTGCGGCGGATACACTGAAGCTCCCAGCTCGTCTACGTCCACACCTATACTTCTAGCCTGCTCCAAGATCTTTTCCAAGCTCTCGAGCTTCCCGGGAGCGCTGGTATCCTGTGCCTTGGTAACCACGTAGAGCAGCTGCCTTACCACGACGAGCACGGCGCTGATAACATCCTTGACAGCGCTGGCAACGTCCATTTCTCCAGGTGAAAACTTTGCGTCAAAGCTCAGTGTCTCGGGGTCAACTTCGCTGCTGCAATGGCTGCCGCTGCCTCCTCCATCACCATCATCGTCATCAATCGTTCCTTCCGCTCGCTCCAATTCAATTTCATTCATTTCACGTACCACGTCCTTTATGGAAGTCCCAACTTGCACAATGGCCCTTCCCACTGCGGTACGATTATCAGACGGAGCTTTCAGTACAAGCTCGCAAGCTTCCCACACGCAGCCTGTAAGAGGCGGTAGTGCTTCCAGCCTCGCAGCTGCAACAAAGAAAGAGAAAAGCTTACTTAATACCCAGTCGACCAAAGAAAAAGAATCGAAAGAAATCGTGGAAAAGCTCGCATCACCTTGAGAGCCGAGAGATAAGGCACTTTCCAGCAGCGACAAGCTGGATTCCAACGCTCCTTTCGCGACGGCCTGGACGGTGGATAAAAGAGTCGGGCCAGCCCCCACAGTGCTCCCATGGCACAAGAGGAGAAAGCCTTGCAGTGTGTTGATGTAGCTCTCCACTTTGTCCGCAGCCTCTTGCGCCGATGGAGTCCCACTCCACAGCATTCCAGCTGAGTGAGAGAAACAAAGCTTAAAAAACTCCCAAAAAGGAGGGGAATAACATCAAGGAACATCGAGGAGATTGAAACTTACTTGTCGTGGCTTCTTTCGAGACAGCCTCCGCCGCTTTCTTGACATCACTCCACGGTACTCTCTCGCAGGCGGACGGCGCTGGCTCGTTGAGCATCTGAAAATCGGAGAAATTCGCGTGGAAATTTACCCGGAAAGGAGGCGTACCTCGAGCGTGCTGCGAAGCGCCACCGCGTGAATGCGCACGGCGCCAAGCAAGCCGCCATCGCTACCGCTCTTCCCACGCCCCTGCTTCATCCTCGTCGCGCAAAAGCCTAAACCCTAATTAGGTCGAAGCCTTTATAGCCCTAAATTCAAACAATAAAAAGAGCGGGAGTTAGAACCCTATAATGCGAACGAGAAAAAGCGCGGGAACAGGCATTTAGGCAAAAGTTGGGGGATTCGGGCTCTCGATCATGGAAATAAATAATCGCCCAACATGTGCCTCGACGCTTTCGATTTTGGACCGCCCTTTACACCAAACAATGGCGCGCGTCGCCCAAACTTGTGGCGAGCAAGCAAACATCGCTGTCGATTTCCAATGGTCCACATGGACGTTAGAATCTTTTAAAACCAAGATTTTTAGGTCACTCCGCGCCATCTTCATGGTCGTGGCCGCTGCTTCCTCGTAAAGAAATCAAATCCCGCCGGGGATTCCCCGAATCTACCTCCCACCGCCGTATCTTTCGAAATTCCTTACTTATCACGGCAACAACTCAGGAGCCGCCACGTGGGGCAATCTTCCACGTCAGCGACCGGCAACGGATGACGTGTGTGGGCCCGCGCTGCTGGCTTGCCCGCTGCCCGCCCGGGCAGCTATGGTAACCGAGATCACAGTGATTTTATCCAAAGTTTCTCGTATGAGATTTTCCCACAAACCCGGAAGAGAGGAAGAACTCTTCCAACTGTAAAAACGATCCAAAACTAAGTTTTTTCGCACTCTTGCCAGATCCACCAGTGCTTGCTGCTGCTCTCATTCCCTTCTCCCTTTTTTGGTGGACCGCCCTCTCTTCTCTCCCCTTTTGCTTGCATTCCCAGCATCCATCCTTGTTTTATCCTGGCACATTTATCCACATTCCCTCTTTCTTTTCCCCTCTCGATTTTGTCCATTTTTTTGTCACTGGGGTGCCATGATCTCAATAAAAATGTGAAAAGCCATAAAAAAAAATAAATCGTTTTATTTTTTTTGTTTTCCTGTGCTTGGCTGGCTGCTGGACTTTAGTGAGCTGTCTTGCTATTATCTCACCTCTGCTGGTTTCCTCTGCTGTTTGCTGCCTCCAGCCTTCGCTCCAGCCTTTTTTTTTCCTGGTTTGCCTTCTTGGGTGATTTTTTTCCAAGAGTTTTTGTAAGAGAGTGAGTGTGTGTGTGTGTGTGTGTGTGTGCTTCTCTTCGCTGTTCGTAATACTTGCGTGCACGTTGTCCCCGCTGTCCATTCGCTGTTCTTCGCCGGAAAAAAAAAATAAAATCGCATCCTTTCTCTCTTTTTCTTCTTTCTTTTCGATCATCCCTGCCTGGCTTTGATCATCATATGGACGATGGATCGCTGCAGCAGCAAGAGACCAACATAGTGCTCGCAAGCTCCTCGCTTTTCCCCCTCCCCACTTATTAAAACTCCTCACTCTCCACAGCGCTAGGGATTTTTTTCCTCTTTTCCTGGATCCAAGGCTCACAGGTGGATACATGGAGCGCACGGAGAAATCTCCTTCTTTGCTATAGATTTGAGCGCCGCTTGAGCGCAAGCGCTGGCGCAGGAACCATCTCTCTCCGGTGGGTTTGATCTTCAGTAGCTCTAGAAAATCGTTCCAAGGATTTTGGAGCTCCAAGATTTCCGGAGAAAAGAAGGAAGAATGGCCGAGCCACAGCAAGGGGGAGGGGGAGGAGGAGGAGGATCTTCTCATTCCCAGCACGTCCATCACGGAGGTTTAGGGGGATCTCAGTTTGGCGACACCACTCTCACCAAGATCTTCGTCGGGGGCCTGGCTTGGGAGACGCAGCGCGACACGATGCGGCAATACTTTGAGCAGTTTGGCGAGATTCTAGAGGCTGTGGTGATCACGGACAAGAACACTGGGCGCTCCAAAGGCTATGGCTTTGTGCGTGAATTCACTCCTTTCTTCTCTCCTTTGTCTCCTCGATTCTTTCTTGGTTTTGGTTCTATCCATGATCTATCTCTTGCTTGGCTGTTTCTTTTTCTTTTTCTTTTTTTCCTCCACTGTTTGGGCTAAGAACTTTTCTTAGCTGGGTTGTCTGTGGATCCCATCCTTGCCAAGTTGCCAGCTTGCTTGGGTGATTTTTCTTTGTTCTTTTCGTGACGGACCCAAGTGAACTAACGGATGAGAATCCGGCAAAGTTCTCTTTTTTTTTTTCCCATTTTCTCTTTTTCCCCACCCTTTTTTTTATCTTGTCTTCTCGAGCGAATGTGGATCGAAATGCCTGGCTGCAGTAACTTCACAAGCATTGGAAATGATAAAAAATTTGGTTGGAACAGGTAACTTTCAAGGATCCCGAGTCGGCACGACGAGCTTGCGAGAATCCAACGCCGGTTATCGATGGCCGGCGAGCAAACTGCAACCTTGCAGCACTTGGAGTGAGGCCGAGGTTCCCACCATTTCATCAAGGTACGAGTCTTTTCCTTCCCATTTCTCGAACTTCTAGCTACAAGATCGATCAGCTTTGATTGTTGGTCGTGGAAAAAACTGGTTTTTTAGTTCTCTTGTGTCCTCACTCCCTCTCTCGACGCGCTTTCGACATTTAAAAACATTCTTGGTTTTAATTCAGGTGCTTCGAGAGTTCGTCACTTCTCCCCAGTTCTCGGGAGCTCTCAAGTCGGGGCAGCAAGCTATTCTCCCGGCGGGGCCTCGTCATCGTTTCCACAGATGCCCGCCGCTCCATTCTCGTATCCTCAAGCCGGGTTCTCATACGCCGCCACTCCATACGGGTAAGTTTCCTTCCACGATCGATCGATCGATCGATCGATCGAAACGAAGTTTTATTCCAACCTATTCCTCCAGATACGCTTACGTCCCCTCGGAGTACTCTTACCAGGTACCTTACCACCACCCTCATCCCTAATCTTCCTCCAGCTCTATACTCTCTACACATTCTTCTTCTTTATCCCTTTCCCTCGTTTTTTTTTTTCGCTTTTTATGCAATCCCAAGGAGGCCATAGTTCTCAAGCGTTTCGTACTATGGCGTCTTTGCCTTGTGTTTTTTTTTTGTTTTTTTTTTTTGTAGAGCCTGTATCCTTACGGGAATCCACAACTTTCAGCTGTCTATGGTGGAAGTAGTAGTGGCAGCAGCACCATAAGCAATCCAGCAGCAGTGTATACATACTCTGGCTTCAACCAGATTGGATCCACCTATCCCTCTGGTGGTGGTCAGCCTTATTCTCCTGCTGGAGGCATGCAACACCACCATGGCCACCCTCAAGTTGTGCAGTATTCACCCCTAGCGCCAACTTCACCTCTGCCATCGCCGTCGTCCTCGTCGTCGCCGCCCGCATCGGCTATGTACAACGCTACTGCTGCTGCTGGTGCGTCTGCAATCTCTCCACCACCTTCAGCTGGTGGTGCTTCCACTACACAACCAGGTAACTCCGACTTTCTAAAGTCAAGCTTGCATTTCTGTGGGAATGAATTCGCCATTGAGACGTACCAATTCAGCAGGTGTTTGTGTTCTCATTCAGGGTTGACAACACACCCCACAACATCTTCATCTTCAAGGTCCTTGCAACAACAACAGCAGCAACAACATCAACATCAACAATACCCGCCAACTTCATCGTCACAGGGCACTTCAGCTGCAGCTGCAGGAGGCTCATCTTCGTCCTCACACAATTGATTCTTCACTTCCATCCCGCAAAAGCCCCAAAAAGCGCATCCACATCCCACATCAAACCAGGAAAGAAAACAAGAAAAAACAGGCAGAAAGAATAGAGGGTAGAACTCAACTCGGCACAGACAACATTGAAGAGAATAAGTAACACAAGAGAGGACCCAGGCATTCTACATAATTTTACATTATAATGTAGAACTCTAACCATTCATTTAGGAAGAAAAAAAAAAGCTGAAAAAAACAGAAGAGGAAAACAAAGAGTTGACTGGTCAAAGGTGGTCCAGCACTGGAGCACTGACTTTTGAACATGCTAGCCAGCTCATTTGGGTTCTGGAAGCAACTTGTGTGTGAACGTGAACGTTGCTATTCAATGTCTTTTTGGCATAGGATTGGCCTTTCCAACCTTGTTGTTTTGGATATTGAGTAAGTTAGTTATCAACTTCCCCAGCTTGGGCACAGAGGTATACAGACAGAGTGGAAGATGATGGATGCCCTTGAAAAGCTGCTATGCTTTTCCAGCTTTTTATTTTTGTTGTAAATTTTATAAAAGAAAACTCTTTGAAAAGGTGGCGAAAATGCACACCCCTTGGAAGCCAGAAGGGTCCAAAACACCCCATCCAATCCAAAGCTTTAGAAAAATATCCGAGCCTCAAGTCCACATCTGTTGGGTCTCTTTCTCTATCTCGTTGGGTGAAGAGATCAGGTAAATGAGCTGTGACGGTAAGTATTAAACTATTTTGGCCTGGAGCTTTGTCTAAGGTAGACAGTCTTGGGAACTTTTGACTTAGATTAGTCAGTATCATCAACAATCAAAGTCCAACCTTACAAGCTATACCTTAATAATACTCTGATTTATTTTTTCTGTTTCTAGTTGGACTTTGGAATTTTGAAGAAGGTGATTCCAAACTTTGGTGCCAAGGGATTCATGAGCATCTTCTTGTAGAAGCACACAATGTCTCCTTCTTGGAGCGAGTTCTCTCTCACATATTGAATCCACTGATTTGTGACCAAGCTCGGCCCTCTCTTCCCCTTCTTGTATCCAAACTCCCAAACAGCGCCCTTTTCGTCCACAAACTCCATGGGAATCTTCTCGTCATCATCGAGTCTTGGGAGCTTCGACTCCTCGTGGACAGAGAAGATCAATGTGTCTAGTGTATCGACGTCCCCCTTGGTCAGTCTCTTGCCAAACAGTGGAAACCAGTGAGCTTTGTCCGTGATGTTTAGAGGCCTGTCGTACTTCTGGGGTCTCCACTTTGTGTACGAAGAAGATGTGGAATCCATTTGATGGCAAGAATATTTGCCCAAATTGACACCCTCATCGCCGTCCACCTTTCTTCGCTTGGGCTCTCTAAGTTCTTGGTCCACCATCTCGCTATCGAAAGAACTTATCTTGGGTCCTTCCAGAGCCGCCTTGCGTGGAGAACGCTTTCCTTGGTTTGACCAAGTCAACGTTTTTGTGATGCTGGACTTAGGGTATGGATGTTGAATCGAAGAACGGAGCTGTGGAGAACGCTTCCTCTTGTTCAACCAAGTCTGTAAACTCTTCGTCAGACTGCAAGATCGGTCCTCACTATGAAGCATGGGCACAAATATAGAGTCACAACCCGAAACCCTGATTTATATACAATTCTTACCTTTTGGAGTAAACCGAACTTTATCTTTATAACTTTTTAATCGGAATTATATTAACTTCTTAACTTTTGCTAAGATTCTGTTGGGCCAGCTGCCCAACCAAACTCATTCAAGTCAAGACCGTTCACTTCTTTGCAGTTCAGGTCCAGACCTTGCTCCATCTTGTTGCCCATTATATGATGAGCTTGGGGCTTTTGCAAAGAAAGTGTTACTAAACCTTGATCTAACATTCCCTCCTCGCGTTTGAGACGCATCCAGGGCTCAATTCCACCAAATATCCTCGTTGGTTTCTTGATCCCACTTTGCTGCTGGCTTGCTAATACCTGGTGAAGATTGTGTGACTGAAGCCTCTGTTCCCTCGCAAAAAGAAGCTGCTGCTCCAGCGTGGTCTCGGCACTTGATGCAGCTTTGCAAAGTTCCAGTTTTACTGAGGCGTTCAGATCCTGGCCTCCTACAGAAAAAGTCTCCCTTGCCTTTTCTAAGAGAGCTTGGAGATATTTCCCCTGGGCTTCGATTCGCAACTGTAGATGCCTTTGAACCTGTATAAGTTGTAAGAAAATTAAAAATTATAATTAATTACAGAAATTAGAAAACTTTACCTCAAGTTGTTCATGTAGCTTCTTTTGCACCTCCATTTGTAGCCTCAGAGCTTCTGTGATTTGAGAACTTGCAAAGTGATGAGGACAAGCTAGTTGTTACAGAATATTTGGGGGAAAAGGATGGAGCTTACTCAGATGAGGATGAGGAAAGGTGACCCTGCTGGGCTATCAAATCCTGAGCATTGGGTGTGTTGTATGATACAATGCTGGCTGCACACAAAATGTAAAGCAATGTTTGGGACTCAATGCTTGCTTGAAACATTATAGTATAATGCGAGGAAAGCTTTTCTACCATTTCTGTTTGCGACGTTTGTATCCTTGTTGAGTTGCTTCCCAAGACGAAATTTCTGATGAAAGCAAAGCATCAAGAACTGAAGGCAAAAAATCCAAGAAAAAAAGCAAAAAACCTGAAGGTGGCTTTTGAGATGATACAAAGTAAGGCCTTTGACTCCCATGATCCTCATCACGGATTTTGGTGTCGCCTCTACATCCATTCCAATCCAAATTTTAGAATTAGCTTTGCAGTGATCGAGAAAGAGGCATAACATTAGAACTTTTTAGTGGAACTTTCTGGGATTTCTGGGACTTTCGGCTTACTCTCGGCTCCTCCCAGCTGAGTGACAGCCTCCACGAATCGCTCATGCAACTCGGGTGTCCATCGGAGCCTTGGTTTAGGCTCGGACGCAGAGATTTTCGCCTGCTCGACGCTCAATCCAGTGTACAAAGTTGGCTGCTGCTGCTGCTGCTGGGACATGAAATTCGTACCCGGAGAGAAATTTTTCACTTGATACATATCCAAGAGGAGTGAGGGTGAGTCTCTCCAAAAAAGAAAGCTAGAAAAAACAAACTAGAAGAGGATCGCCACTGTCACTACTCTCACTACTGCTCCCATGGAATTCAAGTTTAAAAACTCGAAAAATATCCTCAAGCAACCCAAGCGAAGCATCGATAGTTTTTTTTACCAAAGTAGAAAACCCACCAAAGAGATTGAATGAGGCAAACAATGTAAGGCCTCCAAAACTATTTATTTGGTCCCTGTGCTCGACCCGGCAAATCTGGGCCGTGGATGCCACCACCATTCCGGATTCCGGATAGGAATGGTGCAGAGAATATTCGACCGGAGGAAAGGCGGGACTCCGCATACGGCCGCCACGTGGCAGGAGAACAATTCCGGGTCTGTCCAGAAGAACACAAAGTCGAGTTTGTGCTGCACGGAAGAACTTTGAAATGCTGGGCTGGTGGTCACTGGCATGGAGAATTTTATGATCAAAGTAAAGAATATCAAATATAACATTGTGTTCCTGGCATTTATAGTAATATTAACTTAATAAAATTGAAAGAAAACTTAAACTATGCCTTTGAGCGTTAAAGAATATAAAATGGAGAAATCTCTCATCCGGAATGCGCAAATGATACAAGTCTCAGTGGGACAGATCAATGCTTTCTAGTACCAAAGAAGAGGAAAGAAACATTGGTTCGATCCAGAGGGGAATACTGTAGAATATGGTGAGAGCATATAAACTTTACTCGATTTCTAGGGAGTACCGCAACTTGTTTTGGGGGGGGGGGGGAGGGGGGAGAGAACTTTCTATCCATGGGGAATCTAGAATATAGAGTCAAGAGAGACTGGTTTTTACCCTTTGACAAATTTCACCCAAAGTTTGACTTTAGCCCTCCACTCGCAGAGAATCGCCCAAACAAATGATGTGATCGCGTGCACGTCCTGACCTTGGTTTTAATCATCAAGGTTCCAACCACAATGATTTGGAAGAACACACACACCTTAGTAACGTGGTTAAGCGAGGTATTTGCTTCGATAACCCGTGGTAAACAGTCGCAAGAGAATGGGAATAGAATCTGGGCGTCCATTTGGTACAATTTATTCCAGCATTGGTACGTCCAAATCATGCAGTGTAGTGCACACAAGCAAGGGGACTTGCTTTTGACACTGTCAAAAAAGAGTCAAGATCAAGTCCTTCAAATCCATTCCCTCCACCAATATGATCATGGATACGTGATCAATCAATCTGGAGCGAATCCAGGAATCAAACACTTTTGGAATCTTCTTTTTCCCACAAAAAGGTCAACACTACACACACACACGCTTACACACTCGTCCTTTTTCCCCTTCTTCGTCATCTTCATCTCTGGGCTAATTAATTCTTCTTCATTCTTCTCTCTCGGCTAAGCTCGCTGTTAAAAAAGGTACCGAAATATCTTCAAACCAAAACGAAAGCCAACTCCTGTTTTCTTGGCTATCCTTAAAAACTTCGCAAACTTCTCACGTACCCAGCTATACTCTTCAAGTGTGGAGCGGGATGAACACAGCAAGGATGCAAACTCCTCCTGAGCACTAGATGAATCCTACCTGAGAAGAAGAGATGAAAAGAGATCGATCAAAAGTGAAGAGCAAAGCTACGTACCGTGCCAATCCAAGGATGCATCCCCCAAGAGGTCCAGCGAGTTCATCCCACTTTATTGGATCTGCAAAAACCCCTCCACCACGTACGAGAAAGTAACGTCGCTCATTCCCTAGTACTTCTTTCTCTCTCCTTCCTAGCTATATACCAAAGAGTCACCTCGTCATCTTCGAATTTTCGGTCTCTTCATGCCGGGATTGTTGAATGAAGTCAGCGAACCTGTCAAGTATGGACTATCCTCTCGTAGTGTACCGTTTAGCATCGCCAGCTCCCGGAGTTGCGCCTTCTTCACGGCGTCCACAGACTCGTCCTGTGGACAGCAGTCACGGAAACTTATTGTGAAAAAAAAGATAGCTAATGACTTCTGTGCGCTAAGAACTAGAGAGGATAACCTTAATAGAAAAAAAGCGATACCGGAGGTGGCCGAAGCACGTCTTCAATTATCTCCTGCGCGTATTGCAAGTGCGTGTCGATCTGGTTGGCCGGAAGCTCCGCCTCCACGAGGACGTGCAATGGCTCGTTCAAGTGCTCGTAGCCAGGCTTGTCCCTCATCTTCTCCTCCTGGAGAGAGAGCTCTAAGCAACAAAATGAAACGGCCGTGCGCGGGGAGAAAAACCCATACCTTTGCTGCGTCCTTGATCGACCCTCGCCCTCTTATCATCACGCGGCACCCGGTCTCGTTCTCGACACGCTTCAGCGACAGTCCTCTCGGCCCAAGAAGGCGGCCCACAAAGTTAAACTGCAAGCAAGCAAGAATGACGAAAGAGCTCGTCTCGCATACGCAAAACGCACGAAATGATAAACACTTACGTTAGGATAATCATCGGTAGGAATCTCGATTCGCAAGGTCTTCTTTATAATCGGTCCAGGCGAACCGGCAGGGCTGCCATGCCAGAGAGGTAAGACAGTCCTCTGCATGGATCATATCAAAAAAAAAAAAGAAAAAAAGAAACAGAAGATCGAGCTCAAAATGAGAGAACGAACAAAAACCAAAGAGAAAAGCATGACCAACCTCGTGCTGCATGGCAGCCCAAGCATTTAAATCTCTGCTTCCTCCATTAGAAATCAACCCCAGGGGGCTTCCCATGTCCAAAGTGTCCTGTTCTAGAAGTTGTGACTGGCCTATGAGTTTAGAAACTCGAAGAATCTCTGCTCGAGAAATGAGAAAAAATATCAAAACTTTAAATCGATACAAGTGTATGTAACGTACCCTGATTAAGTAGGAAGCTGCAGTGAGGAAGAACCATCATGAAAGGTCGCAGACTTTCTTGTTCCATAAGTAACTCTGTGAAGTACCTGAGACAAAGAAACGATGAAACGAGATGAGAGAAGAAATAAAAAGGTAAAAAAGAAAGGGAGAGAAAAAAGATGATCGAAAACCCAGATCTCTGATCTCTGAGCTCCACCACACCCCATTCTTCCCTACATTCTAAGCGCGGCCCCAATCCAGCCGGAAGCCTCCGATCCGCGACGCTCGATGACCTACCGATCGAAATATCGCCAGCGATCGGCCGAAATATCGCGAGCGCGAGCAAGATGGGATGGAAGAGATGGGAGATGCGAGGTATGGATTACTCACTTGTCATGCTCCAGCAGCGCGTTGGGAGATCTTCCAAGGCCGCCGATTTGAGGCGAGAGGCTGCCAGTGGATGCGGACGATGGCGAGTAGTGCATGTAAGATCGCCCAGACATGACCCTTGCTCGCGCTGCTGTAGCGATGGTGTTCTTGCGCCCAAGGAGAGAGAGAAAGCCCCCAAATTTTGTGAATAGAAAAGAAAGCCCAGGGGGTGATATTTGTGTGGAAATGGGGTCCCTTCTTAAACCCTGCTTGTCCTACTCCTGCTTACGTGGCGTGATGTGTCACGTCAGCCCTAATTAGGGCACACGAGGCAGACACAAGGGAAATTCTTAGGGTTTTGGCTATGGCGGACGATGTCGAGGTGGATGCGTTCAAGCGCCTGTATCCCGCGCAGTTTCTCGAGCGCTACCTGGATGCATCGGTGCGGCCGGATGGGAGGCCGCTCACGCGATCGCGCCCGACGTCGGTGTCGTTCAGTGAGTGAATTTCTTCCTGGCAGGAGGATTCGTGATTTCTTCCGAAGTATTCTGACGCATTTGTGGATTTCTAGACGCTGTGTCGTCGGCGGACGGATCGGCGCTTGTCAAGATTGGAAACACGGTAAGATTTGTGACTTTGCTCTTTGATTTGATCGATTGATTGGATGGACTCGGGAGGTTTTGCGATAGACAATGCTGGCTGGAGCGAAGCTAGAGACGATGGAGCCGGCTGCTGATACACCCGATCAAGGCTGCCTGTGTGAGTCCTTTCTCAAACGACGTCTTGAACTGTATGAATTTTCTTTCGAGCAGCTGTAGATTTCGTAATGCCACCGATTTGCTCGCCTCGAGTGAGGCCAGGAAGGCCAGCAGAGGAGGCATATGTCATAACGGAGCAGCTGCAAAATGCCCTCTTGAGGTATGATGGTTTTCTTTTTCCTTCATGCCCAAAGCTGCGATTTTTTCTTCTTCCAGCTCCGGTGTTGTCGATTTACGTGAGCTCTCGATCGTCAGTGGTAAAGCCGCTTGGATGATCTATCTGGTAGCGTCACCACAGTGATTCATATTTGGTTCTTATTTTCTTTGCAACTTTCCCAGGACGTTTATTGCTTAGACGCCGATGGATCACTTCTTGACGCAGCACTGCTCGCGTCAGTAGCTGCTCTAGCGCATTGTAAGTTTCTCCAAGCCACTCTGTTCTCTTCTGTTTTTTCGCTGAGAGTTTCAGGACAGTACAGGTACCCGCGATCTGTGTAAGAAGTGAGGGAAAGATCACGAAGGCTCCTCCAGATGCCCAAGCAAGCTCCGATGGGATCGAGTTTACTCAACCGCGACGCCTCAACCTCGGTGAATTTCCATTCGCGCTGACAGTAGCCATGAACCAAAAGTCCTTGATCGCGGATCCCACAGCCGAGGAGGAAGCCATTTTAGACACTAAGATGATCGTGATCCTCAACTCTTCCCAGAAAATCATCGCTCTCCACAAGGCTGGTGGATCGACCACTGCTTCTACAGCAACAATCCAGGTTCGTTCTCTTCCCCTAGAATCAAAATCGTGAAAGCTTGGCATCCTCGATTCCTCGTTTTTCCAGGATTGTCTTGCGCTCGCGATGAGAAGAAGAAAAACACTGCAAAAAGTTTTGGAAGAGGCTCTCCGAAAGAGCACCAAATAGATAAGCTGGTAAAGTGAGGTTAACGAGTGCTTTATTAACACGGATTAAAGACGCTTAGGGTTTATTCTACTTTGGATCTTCGCATCTTTGCCTGGTGTCCACGAGGCGCTGCGAGGAAGAATCGCGATCGATGGTAAGAGGGATCAAAATATTCCAGCCTTTCGTGTTCTACCGCTGATTCTCCTCACGATCTGGCTAGATTTCTCTTTTCGCGGCGATCTCCTCTCGATAGCTCCCGATATGGCCGCTGACGCGGCAAATCCCCCCTCCGCGGCCGCGCCAATGCCGATCCGCGCCGCCGAGATCCATCCCCAGCACTGGATTCCCGACGAGAGGGATGGATTTATTTCGTGGCTGAGGGGCGAATTCGCGGCCGCCAATGCGATTATCGATGCGCTTTGCCAGCATTTGCAGATGAGCGGCTCGCCCGGGGAGTATGATCTGGTGGTGGCTTGCATCCAGCAGCGGCGATTCAGCTGGAATCCCATTCTCCACATGCAGCACTACTACTCCGTGGCGGAGGTTCTCATGGCGCTCCAGCAGGTGACTCTAAAGAAGATCCATCACGCTCAAGCCAGCGAGAAGTTGCCAAGCTCTGTTAAATTCTCCGAGTTTCGAGGATCGAGCTTCCAGCAAAACAAGGATCTCCGCGAGCCTGCCAAGGAGGATTCATCCAGTAAAGAGGAACTACTCCTCGAAGGTTTGGAAGAACATCTCTAAACTTTTTTTTCTTTAAGTTTTTGCTTGCTTGGGTGGTCTCTAATGGATTTGGTTTACACAGATCAAGCTTTGTCAAGAAAGGTGTCCACCTTGTCTGTGGCGGAGGAGGCTGCTAGTAAGTCTTCTCTTTCTGCGGCAAACCTTTCCTCCCCTAAGTTTATTGTTGGATTGGAAGACGTTGAAGGCGAACAGGTTTTTGATTTTGTTTGTTAGGCAAGCTTTTGTTTGCGTTGCTGCGAGCTTTTGGCATCGCTAATAGTTTTCAACAGGTGAATGTTCTTGAAGGACTGGAGGTGTATGAAAATGTCGCTGATACTACTGAATTGCTGGCTGCGGTGACTCAGTCTCACATCATGAAAAGTGGCGAAGGTAACTTTGTATCTCTAAAACGATTCAGCGCTTACGAGCTTTGAGCAGGACGTAAGCGATCGCGATCGATACAGTTTGGAACGATACCGTCAGAAATTATCGCCGAAGAACAAGAACAAGAACTGTCTTCCATGCCAAAGGGTAATGCCAAGGGGTACAGAAAAGAAAACGCATTTTTTGATCTTGTTATCGACACTAAGCTATTCTGTTGACGGAAACCTTGCAGAGGAAATTGTAGCAGAAGGTGGCGTTCCCCCGTTTTTGGATTTTCTTCTCGAGCGCGTGCTCAAGCTACAAGATATTCCTCCAGATAAAAGGCCAACCTCGTGCAGCATTAGTGTGTTTGAGCCGGTATTACAGCTTTTGGTTTTGGTTCTACTTTTTTTAATGCTGTGTGCTGTTTACAGGAGGATTTTATGCTCCTTCGTGCGTATCATAGTTTTGACCAACCAGTATACATGGTTTCATTGTCTCAGTCCTTTCTGACTTTCGGTAGAGATCTGTCCTTGTTGACATTCAAAAGGAATCTGGAAATGAGAAGCGCCGGTAAACTATTCAATCTGACACTTGCTCCGGGGTAAACGCTGCTCTTCTCTCTCTCTGACAACAACAATGCTAGTCCTCCTTTTACAGGTCCCTCTTGGTGCTCCAGAGAAACAGCAAGGAACTAGTTCAGTGCGCGGTTTCTCCCTCCCAGAGCCGGCAAGTGCTGATAGCTTTTGGAAGGCTGAAACCGCAGGTAGATTCGTCTAGACCACAGGGACCCGCTCGTCAATCGTCATCCACAAACGCACTGGCCAGGCTATCTTCATCTTTTCAGAGCCTCGAGTTTGGACGTGGAGTGTCACTGGGAACAGGGGTGTTTCTACCACCAAACGGGATCGCGAATCACACCCTCTCATCGCAAGTTAATGGATTCCAACGTAGAGAGTCACCAGCTCAGTGAAAGCTTCCATCACAGGTACTTCGGAGGTACTTATATTTCTCTAACCGCGAATACGGTTTTTCAATTTAGGGCTGCTCCAGGAAGAATGGCGTCGCTGGTTAGTGTTCCTGGTGGTTTTCCCGGTGGAGCGGGATGGGTTCTCGATTCTAGAATCAGGTACTTTGAGCAGGGGGTTCCACTTTTATCCAGGAAGAGATACTTTAGCCTCTGCCGACGAGGAAAGGGTGTTACTTATGGAAGTAGCGTAGTGATAGTGAGGGCGGACAAGCGAAGCAATGCGCCAGAAGCCGAAGCGACGGACAAATGGCTGAAGCTCCTCCCGGACAAGAAGTCGGCTTTGTATTCTCACAGCCTTCCCTGCATTGAGGCGTGGCTGAAGAGCTTGGGATTCTCACAGTCGGCCGAGGAGAGAGCTTCGTGGGTGATTGAGAGGTCGGATTGGCACGCGCAATTGTCTCTGGAGATCACGGAGCTTCGTATCAGGTGGCTTGTTGTCTCTTTGTTTTCTCTTTTCTTTTATTGATTTGCTTCCTACCTCTTGTTTTGGATTTAAGATACCTCAAGGGCGGCCCTGGTAACTTGGAGAGAGATATTGAGCGGAAATTTAGCTATGCACTTTGCAGGGAAGACTTGGAGAATGCAATCTTGGGAGGACCATAGGTGGTAGTTTTTTGCTCCTGAAATATTCTAAATTCTGAACATCTATAGGCCTCGATGGATGCTGCAACCATCTTGGCAGATTGGTTTTGCCATGACTCAGAGAGCATGCCCAACAATATACATGTTTTTAGTATATCTTAAGCATTATAGAGTGAAAGAACATCATACATTACTCCATCAATGTGAAATAACACTGGGAAATTGTATAAAATTGTTTAAGGAATATCTGTAAAGTTTTTGCTATTTAGAATTAAGTTTAAAGCTTTACTAATTTTTTTACTTTAAACAAGAAGTATTTATTACATTTTTCCTAAATTATAAAAGTGAACCTTATACATATAATTTATTATTATATTATATTACACATTTATTTTTTGGTAATTATTACATTAACTATCACATGCTTTTACTATCTTTAACTGTTACATTATTTATATTCTTTATTATATTTGTTGTTATAATAGATGACTACAGTAAAATTTAAAATAACTTGGATAATGAAAATTCAAATGGCTTGGATCATAATAAGTTAAAAACTTTAACTTTTTATTTTATTTTATTTATTTATATGATGTAATTATGATCATTCTAGACTATCATTATATATATACCATAATATATGGGACTATTATTTTATAAAACATTGTCCAAAATAAAGAGTAATTTACAATTTTCTTTCAGTTGGCCCAATTTAATAAAAAATATTAAAAATTAAAATTTTATAAATTAATTGAGGCATACATAAATCAGCCACTTAGTTAAATAAATCTTTAGATTTAAAAAATATAGGACTGTAAAAAATATAAAATATTTTTAATTATATTTAATTTAATAAGCTTTAATAAAATAAATTATAAAAAAATGTTAATATCCTACACAAAAACCTTATTAATAATCTTTATAGTGCAACTTTTAATGTTTTTAATAATCTATCTGTGCCATTTATATATATTCAAAATTAATGTGTATATAACTTTTTGGCATTTACACATAAAAAAAGGAGGTTTAATAAATTTTCACCATAAGAAAAAATATTAAGTTTTAATGTATTTTACAAAAATTTACATAAAAATATCATTTAAATATTTAAGAATATCTAAGATATGATTTATATTTAAATTATTAACAGAACTAAATCTAGTTAATGCACGATAATCTTAGTGTCAATATAAAGTTATATAGTGATCTTCAAAAATAGAAATAATTTTGACTCTCTTGAAAGTATTTACTTTTTAAATTAATACTCTTTAGATTGTTATGGTAAGCCTTAAATAATAGTCATCCTCGTAGTTTAACAAATGAAAACGTCATGGTCAAGAGCTTCTAATTATCCAAATAATATCTAGACCAATTTATACAGTCATTTTATATTCTGAAAAAGGAAAAGCTTCTTGTGCCAGCACGGACTGTAGGATATTTCCCAGCCTTTTGAACTAACCTCAACTAACCTACAATAAAAGTAGCTAGGGCGGGATGGGCAGCAAGGTACGTATTTGCACATAGCACCCTCCCTCTCGTACGGGCAGCACGGGCAGCCTCCATGGGGCGGTAACAAGTTGTTGTCGGGCGTGTGTTTCAAAATCGAGAAAAAAAGAAGCATTAAAAAGAGTGTGAGAAAACAATGCAAAAGCATTTAATTCAATGGAGCGATGCGATAGCCCCAGTTTTGAAACTCCAGACTCCGAGAAAAGGCCCTTGGTAACGGCCCCATGGCCATCCATGCCCATGCCGATGAATGCATGGCCCGGCCATACCATACATTCAAGCCAGATGGGACAGCCACGTGGGAGTTTCGTACGTGGGCCTGTCAAAAAACACACAAACTCCTATTCGGCCATCAGGTAATGACTGGCGGCGTCTTGACTGGGGGAGGCATCAGCCGACCGAAACATTCGCATATTCATGCGAGCCGTCACGCTCCGAGATTTAAATCCGAGGCCCGGCTATGCTATTGGCGGGGCACCAAAGCGTCGCCTTGTGAGGAGACTTTTGGTGGCGACGGTTTTTAGGGCGGATGGTTCCTGGACCTTCGAAGCGTTCGCCCCTTTTAACCCCTTGTTTGCATGCCCTTTCCAAACGGAAAGGTGGCGGACTCCCCTGGGGCACATACGTCAATCGACGGCTCCCAAGTCCAACCAACGATTGGGGGAGCAATCTAGGCCATTGCCTTGTCCTCGAGTTGACTAAACACTCAATAATACAAAAGAGAGCTCCTCGCATTATACAAGTCAATCGAGCTCTTGGTGTATCGAGCACCGGCTGTTGTTTATATAGCCCTAAAAATAATCTCTACGCGAACTATCACCGGGAAAGAATTTGTGCATTGGGACCCAACGCCACTTCCTTGACAAGACTGCAAGGGCCGGATATCTGGCCACGTGGACGGCAAAGATGACAGGAATATCCACGTCAGCATGATCGAATCTAGGGCGGCGTCGATTCAACGGCGGGGATGGGCACTAGGATATTTTCGCGGTGAATGTGAACAGCGGTTGGCAGTACACCGCGTGGGAAGTCACCGCGCTCATTTTTATTTTACCCCCATTGTTGTGGTGTTCCAGTTCTCATTTTCCATTCATCGGTCTACCTAGCTTTCTCTCCTCCCTTTTCCTTCTCTCTTCGTTCTCTCTCTCGATACGAATGCCCTAGTGCCATCGATCCGCGATGGAGCGCTGGCGCTCGGCGGCGCTAGGTCATGGACTGTAGATCGGCATAGCTAGAGCGCGCATTGTAGTTTGGGATGGAGAATATCTAGATTTCCAGAAGCCAAGGCCCGGCGGCAAGGTTTTCCAGAAGAACGAGTGGTGATTTCTTCGGCAGGGCCGTCTCCATTCTCTGCAGTGGCCGATATTTCGTCGTGTTCTTGACCCTGGCGACCGATCGAATGGCGCAGCAGCGGGATTAAGGTGCGGGAACGAGTATGGAGGTGGCACCGCCGATATGCCAGCAGCACCAGCAGCGCCATTCGTGTGGAGACGAAATCTTTGCGTTTCGAGCTGGAGAGGCTGCAGGAGGAACGGCAGTGGCGCCGAGCGCCGCCACCGCCACCGATAGCAGCAACAAATTCGATCTAGCTCTTCCCGAGAAGAATTGCTTGACGTCAAATTTCACCATACGGTACGTTTTCCCATTTCCTTTACTTTTAGATGCGAAGCTCCTCTCTCTCTCTCTCTCTCTCTCTCTCTCTCTCTCTCTTCTTCTCTTAGTGATCATTTCTTTGATCATTGTGACTGCAGAGGTTTCGTCTCGTTAGTTCGCAAGCAGGACATCAGGCAGACCTGGCCGTTTTCCGAGGAGCTCTTGCAGAGATACCTGAGTGAGGGGAAGTCACTGCCACATCTAGATGCCACCCCGCCGACGAGTGTGGCAACCGTAAGAGCTTCTTCTGGGGAGGACGAAGTCGACGCTAGAGCCGTGGTGACGGAAGTGGTCCATCCCGGCGAGCAAGAGCTCGAGGTGCAATTCCACTTTGAGAATCAGGCCCGTGATGGGTCCAAGGGGTTGGACGGCCCAGGGGAGGAATCGAAGAGGATGGAAGCCGGTGTCTCGCTTGTGGCGTCAGAGACTTTAGCAGCAGGCAAAACGGGGGGAGAGGAAGGGGAAGCGAAAGACAAGGGCCTCGACTGCATAGAAGACAAGGCCTCCGACACGGGAGCAGAAGAGGTGGAAGCAATTCAAGGGTCGGCCAGGGAAGATGACGCTGGTGCTTCCAAGCCAGCCACAGGTGACGACGGCGTGGGAGAGGATGGGCAGCAGCAGAATGTATGCCCGGTTTGCGCCTCGTTTTCGTGTCACTCCGTAACAGCTCTCAACGCTCACATCGATGGGTGCCTCTCGGCGGCGCCGGGAACTGACAAGTGCCAGAGAGTCGTAGCGCTGCGCAGCACCAACACCACCGCCAACAACAAGGGCTCCTGCGCAAAGGTGCAAAAAATGCGGTCCATAACAGATATAATTGCTGCCGATCCGGCTCCATCTCCCAAGTCCGATTCGACTGCCAAGCACGCCGAGCCAGTGGTACGTGAGCGACGTGCGCCCAACCATGTCGTCGTCCTGGCTGACAAGGAGGCGGCCGTGAGCAAGAGCTCGTCGGGGCAAGCGCAGCGCAACTTGAGATCAAGGTCCCGCGGCTCCCGGTCGATGATCCTGGTGAGCCCGATCAAGCCGGACGCCGGGGAGCGGGCGGCTCGCAGGCGGCGGCGGGAGTGCACAGGGAACTGCGTCCAGAAGTCGGGCGAGTGGTCGGAGCCGCACAAGAAGATGCGTCATTGCTCCGGCAACTCCGTGGAGGTGACAAGCTCATGGACTCCGTCCATCAGCTCGGGAACTTACTGCCATTCCAAGGTACGTTCTCTTTACTCTTGTTTCATTTCATGCTTGATATGCTCGTAGCTTTTAGAGTTTATAGAGGTGGAAGCAGGGATTTCCAGGGATACTCCAGGGGGATACAGGCACTAGAACAGGATCAGGCACGAAGAATGCTGCGAGATCTAGGGATAGGTAAGGCCGATGCGAGGTTGAAAGTAGAGGTGCATGGGCATCTATGCGGTGGGAGAGCGCAAAATGGATGAGTTGTAGAGCAACGGAAACGACAGGAGAAGGGGAAGAGTAGGCATGGCAACGTCGTCGAGAGCATTATTGAGGGCCCATTGGCGGGGGAGCTTGGCCTTTCCAGGTGGCAGGAGTTGGTTGGTGGGCAATCCTTGTGGTCCAGGTTCCTGTCCACGTGGATGCCTGCATTCAAGCATCGGGACGGGAACAACGAGGACTTTGCGGGTTTGCCACTTGGTTTCAGCCGAGACATCGTTGTTAGAATTGTTTAGACGGGACGTGATCACGAGAGTTTTGCCAGGCGTGTCCGCCACTTGGACTTCTATAGTTACCAGGACAGTGAAGCAGGGCTGGTTGTAGCAGGATGAGAGCTAGTTTGCTAGTTTGCGATTGCTTTCTGCTTGTTTTGCTCTCTTCTGCTCTAATAACTTGCCCCCGATGCAGGCCCAAGACAACTTGGAGAAGTCTTGCGAGCTTTCGGAGAGCCACGGCTCTGCGAACTGCTTGGATCCGTCGAGTTTGCAGCCTGCTGGTGTGGAGCAGGAGAAGACGCCAGAAAAAGCGAAAAGATCAGCGTGTACGGGGCCAGTCAATGTCACTGACGATTCCTCCTCCAACAAAGCAGATTGCGAAAAGCCTCAAGGAGTCGAGGCACCTACCCGGACTGATACGTCCATCGATGCTCCGGACGCTTTGCCACCCCCGGATACGCAGATTCCTGAAGGTCCTCCTGTACCTGCGGTGGTGGAAAGTAAAGCGGATGCTGATAGATCAGCGGAGGGAGCCAAGGCGTGTATGGAAGCTGCAAACCCTGATCCTCCACCTGCTGATCCGGCAGTAGTCGCAACAAGTGCCCCTCCGGCTGTGTCAACAGCCGCGCAATCTGAGGTATGCATGCAGAACAAGATCGTAGCGGAGGTCATGACGCTGTCGCCTTGTAAGCAGAATGCTGTGCAGCGTCCCAGGTCTATTCCGCTCTACGACTCTATGATATCCAGCCTGAGATCAACCTCAGTCGACTCGGTAACTGGCTACAGCCACTTCAACAATCCAACATGGAAGGCAGCGGTTGTGATGGCTACGTTAGGAGCCTCCTTGGCGAAGACTAACAGCACTCCCTCGACGCCCGCTTCTGTTGTTACCAGTATCGGAAACAGCGAGGCTTCAGCACCAAGGGTCGACTTGTGCAGCCAGGCTTCTGACAGCATCTGCGTCTCGGTGGTACCTGTTGTCGAAGCAAGTTCAAAGGCGGGTCCTTACAACAGAGACAATCCGGTTAGCGAAGCCAAGGCAACAGCTACCGATCGAGTCGCCTTCAAAGAAACAGGCGTGCATGGATACTATCAGGCGTTACCCGGACGAGTATCGGCTCTGGACAAGTCAAAGTTTCCGTTCCAGAATGTTGGCCATCCAACAGAAGCAGTGCAGTGTTTTCCAAGCTCCTCCACCAAAATTCCGAAAGTGCCCGGGTGGATGCAAGGCGGCGATCGTGCAGCGGTGATCGACGTCGACCAGGTTTCTTTTAAGGCTCAGGCTTCGTCCAGCGATGCCAAAGCGGAGAAACCCGTCCTGCGGCTCCTCGGTCAGAACGTGATGGTGGAGTCGGGTCACAAAGATGTGCAAGGAGCTAAAAGCCCCTACAGCTTCTCGGTTCCTGGCGTACACGCTGCTGCCACCGGATATCATACTCCTTGCTGCTGCTCGTCGAGGTCGGCCGCACCAGCCGAGCATATAGCTTTTGCTCTGGGGAAAGAGATGCCAGTTCCTTACACCAGCAACAGTGCAATCTCCCAGATCCCGCTCCCAGGTACATGGAGGCTTCTGCCGAATGGGATATTGAGTCAGGTCAATGGACACCAGATAAATCTTGGTTCCGCCAAGCTGGGAGGTGCACCACTGAACTGCTGCCTTCATAAAAGCTGCAGCCAACAACATCAGCCACAACAGCAGCAGCAACCGCAGAAAGTTCGGCCGGGTGGCGATCAGAAAAACGCTGGCGATCTTCCGCCTTGGCTTCTAGCTGCGAAGAAACAAAAGGAGGCAGAGGCAAACGTCATTGTCATTGATGACGACGACGCGGACGAAGAGAAGGCCAGTCCAACGTCGGTTTCAAAGGCGGCTGTCATTGCCAAGGGAGGAGCTTCGCCGTCAGAGGTCGAATTCACTGGGGAACGGTCTGTGCGCCCGAGCGACAAATCGACGTCAGCTCGACTCACTTATGCTCCGGGAACAGCTTCGCCACACAAGAGAGAGGCTGGCGGCGACTGGACCCAGCAGCCGCACGAGAAAGCGGCCAAGATCACCACCAGCGACTCCCCGCAAGTGGCGAACAGGATGGGAATTCCGGTGCTGGTCCCGACCTGGATGATTTCCAGCAGCGACAGCAGCGGCAGTGTCAACCAGTCCAAGCGCGGAGCCACCGCGCAAGCGTACAAGGCACGAATCGCGATGATGAAGGCGTATATGCACAGCTCCGGTGACGCCAATCCAGCACAGATCCACCAGCAGCAGCAGAGAAGCTTGCCACCCGGGTCTTGTGTATATCAGCTCTCGCAGCAGCAAGGAGCTCCCAGGTTGATCCCGGTCCAAGCTCCTCTTGGCAGTGGTAATGGTGGTGGTGGTGGTAGTGATTTACTACCCGGATATATAACGCATGGAGGAGGAGGAGGACTGGGACAGCATCACCATCAGCTTTACCAGCAGCAGCAGCAGCTAAGTTTATTGGTGGGGAAGGACTGTCACATCATCGAGCTCGAAGACGGGCAGCAGTGCCTGCTTGTCAATGGCCACATGATGGAGGCGGCGGAGCAGCAGCAGCAGATGATCACGGTGGCGGCGGCGGCGGAGAGCGCCGCTGCTGTGGCGGCCGCGGCGGCGGCGGCGGAGAGCATGGCTCTCGGCAAGAGGCTCGTCCGGGACGCGTCCGGGAGGAGCTTTGTTCTTTGCAACGATGGCGAGGGTGGCGGCGGTGGTAGCAGCGGCAGCGGCAGTGCTGGGCGTGGTGGCGAGAGTGGAGCGAAGATCTTGGTCACTCCGGTTCTCCCGGGCGATGGTTCCGGCTATCACGGTATCGTCCTCGCCGGTCCAGGTACTTCTTCCACTTCCAGCGATCACCACCACCACCACCACGGCCACCACCACCACCACCACCACCAGATCGCCACCGCCGCTACTCCATCTCACGCTGTTCTTCCACTCTCGATCGTCCAGCAGCAGCAGCAGCAGCAGCAGCAGATCAAAATCCTCCAGAGCCAAATGCGAGCAGCGGACAAGGGGGTCATGTGTTCTTGGAGCTACGGACAAAAGAGTTAGCGAATTTATTTATTCAAACGATTGGATTGATCGGCCGACCGGCGATCAATCGATCAAAATGCTTAGTATATATATACCGTACAGATTAATGTATTGGATAATTCGTCCCAATTTTTTTTTCTCTTCGTTCTCGGGACAAAAAAAGATTTATCGTCTCGATGCTTGTGAAAGTACTGCAAACATATCTGTTCCATGGGAGTAAAATCTCACGGACAACGATACATACATCGCTCCGGTAAAAGAGAGTAAAAAAAGGCGCACAGCACAGGTGAAATTTGTTTGACTGGCTAGTCATTTTAAGTAGAATCGGTTCTTGGCTAGGTAGAGATTTGGATGAAGCCACATAGAGTAGCTCCAAACATTTGAAAGGGTGGCGCATTCCGGGTGGGAATTTCGATACCACATTCCCGGCGCGGAATTTCCAGAGGCTGTGGCTACACGTGAGAGATGAGAAGACGAAAGAAAGCTATTGGCAAACCTAAGTGATAGGAGAAAAGTTTCTTTCGCGCATTGGGAAGCGCGAAGCTCAGAAAGGTTTCTCTCTCTCGCAGTCGCGGATGAGATCGTAGTGTAGATAGAGGAGCGCTCACGGATTTCTAAAGATTCTTGCGGGGCGCTGCAACGATCGAGGAGGATCGGGCAAGAAAGAATCCAGCAAGATCGAGGAGCGGGGGGAAATCATGAGCCCGGCACAAGCAACGGCTAACGGCAGCGCCAGGATCGTGGCGGCGGCGGCAATGGCGCCGACGAGAAAGACGATGGGATTGTGCGTCTTGGAGGGAGCTCTGCTTCGATCGTCTTGCGGCTTTCCCTACTTGTTCTTGGTGGCGTTCGAGGCCGGGAGCATTATCCGCGCGTTTGCGCTGCTTCTTGCTTATCCCTTTCTGCTCGTCGCCGCCAAGATCTTCGAGTCTTGCCTCCTCGATCAAGCGCTCGTCTTCATCGCGCTGGGCGGGCTCAAGGTGTCGGCAGTGGAATCCGTGGCCAGGGCCGTGCTGCCGAAGTTCTACCTCGAGGATTTGCGCTGGGATTGCTACAGCAAGCTTGTCAACTGCAAGAGGCGCTGCGTCGTCGCGACGAGGAGCCCTCGGCAGCTGATCGAGCCCTTCCTGCGCGAATTCTTGGGGGCCGAGCAGATTCTAGGGCCGGAGCTCCAGATCACTGACGGCGGGTATTGCACAGGGTTGATCATCGCGTCGTCGATCCCAGCACCGGCTGTCCAGGCGGATATCGGTATTTGCTGCTCCAGCGATCGCGATCTTGTCAGGCAATGCAAGGTGAGCGAAATCTTGTCTTTCTTCCATTCTCTCTCGCAGAATTTCCTCTTCTCTCGGATGATATTTGTTTCGACGTTCTCTCTTTCTCCATCACAATCAATCCATCGCTTTCTCTCTGTGTCTCTCTGGCAAAATTTTCATTCCACTCCATAGATCGAAATCAATCAATCAATCAATCAATCAATCAATCTCTCTTCTCTCTTATTTTCTTCTATCGCTCTCGCTCAAGCTCCTTGTTTCAAATTTGTTCCAGGAAGAATTCGTGGTGGAGGCGAGCGCCCACGCGCGCCCAGTCCCGCGCAAGCACTACTTGAAACCCCTGATCTTTCACGACGGCCGCCTCGCAGTCCGCCCCACGCCCGCTATGGCGCTCACGATCTTCCTCTGGCTCCCCATCGGCATCGCGCTGGCCATCCCACGATCCCTAATCCTTGTCCTCTGCCCTAACATCCCCCTCATCCTCGCCGCCGAGGCGCTGCTGGGTATCGTGCTGCGCTACAGTGGAACTCCCCCGGAGAATATTCCGTCGTCCCGTCCGAGCAGAATATCCTCCGCCACTGGGAATCTCTTCGTGTGCTCCCACCGGACGCTCCTCGACCCGGTGATGCTGTCGGGCATGGTGCTGCGACGGGTGACGGCCGTCACGTATAGCATCAGCTGGGTGAGCGAGCTGCTATCGCCCATCCGGACCGTCCGCCTCACACGGTGTCGATCGCACGACGCCCGAACGATCAGCAACCACTTGAGGAGGGGTGACCTAATCGTCTGCCCGGAGGGCACCACTTGCCGCGAGCCCTATCTCCTGCGCTTCTCCAAGCTCTTCGTGGAGATCGCCGAGAACGTCGTGCCGGTGGCCATGAACTGCGAGATCCAGCTCTTCCACGGGACGTCGGTGCGCGGGTGGAAGGCGATGGATCCCTTCTTCTTCGCGCTCAATCCGCGCCCCAGGTACGAGGTGAATTTCCTGGAGAGGCTGAGCCTGCAAGAGCTGACGGATCGCGGCGCCAGCAGCTTCGAGATCGCCAACATGATCCAGCACCGGATCGCGCGCGCGCTAGGGTTCCAGTGCACAGGATTCACGCGCCGGGACAAGTACCGGATGCTGGCCGAGCAAAAGGTGCGAGGAGGGGGAGGAGCTCGGAAAAGCGCGGGAAAGTTTGAAAATTTGAAGCCCGCGGAAGATTCCAAGGAACATTTCTTGTTGTGAAATTTTACTAGTCCGTGCGCTTGTACGGAAACTCTCTATCTTGGGCCCCACTAGGGTTTGGAGCGCTTGTTCTTTGTTTGCCCGGGCGGAGCGAAGGCGCTTGGTGCGCGGCGGCGGTACCGAAATTTCACGCGAATCGAGGTGAGGAAGAGCTTGCGTCTTTGATTTCTTGGCTCGGAGCTGGAGATTATCCGATTCCTTCCTTCCCCGAGCTCTCTTTCGTGCTGCTGGAGCTTTTTTCTGGTTTTCGTGTCTGGTTTGCCTGTGGAAGTGGTCCGGAGAGAAAGAAGAATGCCCATTTTTATTCACTGCCCCTGTGTGCATGGATAGATGCGTGGCGCTTGGACTCGAGCCAGGAGCTAGCCTTTACTTTAGAACTGGCGTGTGTGTCTTGAGGGGAGGAGGAAGAGGATGATGAAGCAGGAGGGTATGTCATCGCTTCTATTGGGGAGGAGCCTTGAGATCGAGCCATGGAGGGAGCTTTTGGAGCTCGTGTGGATCAAAGGCTCTCTCTTTTTGGTTTGCGTGGTCGTCTGTGTCTAGATTTTCTTTCTCTGTGGCACTGACGCTTTGTTTCCTTGCACTGTGAAGGCTTTGAGCTGTTACAAGCAGCCAGCTGTAAGTCATGAGCCGGTCCAGCCGAACTATTTATGTCGGGAACCTCCCGGGAGACGTGAGAGAGCGGGAAATTGACGACTTGTTTCACAAGGTATTCTCGTTTTCGGTTTGCTCGGCTCAACCCACATATCTTGTTTCGCAGTATGGGCCCATTGTAGACATTGACTTGAAACTCCCACCGAGGCCTCCAGGCTACTGCTTCATCGAGTTTGAAGACGTTCGAGATGCCGAGGATGCTATACGCGGACGTGACGGCTACAACTTCGATGGATACCGTTTACGGGTTGAAATCGCTCACGGTGGCCGAGGCCCTCCGTCCTCGGATCGATACAGCAGCTATGGCGGCCGGGGCGGAAGTGTGTCCAGGCGTTCGGAGTATAGAGGTGTGTATACAGGCTTTGGATGAAGTTTGCTACCTGGTTTCCTAACGTTTCTTGGCGACAGTTATAATCACTGGATTGCCCTCGTCGGCATCGTGGCAGGATTTGAAGGTATTGCGCTTCCATTGCTGTTTGTTGTCGCCACTTAACTTCTCAACTATAGGACCATATGCGCCGAGCTGGCGACGTTTGCTTTGCACAAGTGTTTCGAGAGGGAAATGGTAACAGTGCATTATTTTTGGGGGAAAGTTGTTTTAACTGTGTCGTCTCAGGAACTACTGGCATTGTGGATTTCACCAATTATGACGATATGAAATACGCGGTTAATTTTTCTTTCTGTATATTCTCTTTTGCTGGACTGGAGATTGATTCTAGTGTTTTTTGACAGATAAAAAAACTTGATGATTCGGAGTTTCGGAATCCATTTTCTCGCTCGTACATTCGTGTCAAAGAAGACAAGTCTCAGGGCTTGAAACGAAGCACTTCACGCAGCTTGAGTCGAAGTCGGAGCAGGAGTCATAGCCACAGCTATACCCGAAGCAGGAGCCGCAGCGGAAGTCGCAGCCGAAGTCGCAGCCGCGGGTATGGCATTTCTTTTCTTTATGGGATGCATTTACCATTTACCATGTACATGCAGACGGTCAAGGACTCCGAGAAGCAGGTCCAAGTCCCCCTCGAAGTCAGTGTCCAAGTCTCCTGTAGCACGGTCGAGGTAAAATTATTTAGAAGTACGGTTTCACAATTATCTGACCTTCATTGATGTTGTGCAGGTCACGCTCGCCTCAGACGTCGGTAAGCTGGGGTGAATTGTCATTATATTTTCTTAATTGTTTTCTTGAGTTTTGTAGAGGTCTCCTGTGAAGGAGTTGAGCCCAAGCCCAAGCCCGCGTCGCTCACGCTCACCTTCTCCTGCGGTAATTCTGCTTTTACCTGTTGCTTGTACTGACAAGTTGGCGGTGGTGTAGGCTGAAAAGAGTCCTGCCAGGGATGTTTTTTCAAGTGAAGCCAGCGCCAAAGCCGAGGCTAATGTATGTATTTTATCTGTATTTACGTCAACTTACGACTGTTCTTGACAGGGAGGGTCTCCTGCGCCTCGAAGTCCGTCTCTGGTGTCCGAGTGAGCTTGCGGTGCCGGAGATTTTGGTCTGAAGCTTTTTTCTCATTATGGTACATTTTAGTTTTTTCAACTTATAAGGTAGTCAGATGGTTTGCAGAGTCCTGGGCATTGCATGGATTAGTGGAATGCTCAACAGATTGGATTGCTAGTGTAAGTTACTGCTGTTACTATTCGATTGTTTGTTACTGTGTTTACTGTCTGGGATCATACATGAGCTTATATGATGATGGACGTGGGAATGGAAATTGGTTTCGTTGTTGACTTTGCAGCCTTAAACCTCAAGAGAACATGATCCAAAAGAAAATATAAAACCAAGTAAGCGTTCTCTTGTTCTGTGTACCATAATATAAAATTAGCTGCAGGTGATGCAGCGTCAACGTTTGTAGTTTATGAGCCTCTCCCTCGCGCAATTCTCGTGATATCCTCCATTTTGTTTCTTTTTTCTTTTTTTCCGAAAGAATGAGACTGATCTGGTTTGCTCCTACGCAAGTCGTGCGCTGTTTGCTCGGTGGTGCATTGACCATGAGAGGCATTACAGCAGTGAAGAAGAGTCTCATGAGTCATGAGGTACGCGATCCTCAAGCAGAACTTGGAGCTTGTTAGCAAGCACAACGAGCGGTCGGACAAATCGTACATGCTGGGATTAAACTAGATGTCCGACCGCTCGAACGAGGAGTTAAACGAGGCGCTGGTTACTTTGAAAACACCGGGAATCAGAATGTACGGAAGCAGCAGCAGCAGCAGCAGGGAGCTGAGCGCTCCAGCTTCGATGGACTGGAGAAGCGAAGGAGCTGTGACAGGAGTCAAGCCTGTTTTGGTATGCTTTTGCTTCTTTTTCTTTCTTTTTGACTTGCTTTTTTTCTTCTTTTGTAATGTGATAGGTGGGAGCTGGGTATTTGCAGCGGCTGGTGCAGTGGAAGCAATCAACAAGATCTCAACCGGACTGCAGGTGGATCTATCCGCACAACTGTTCATCGAATGTAAGTTGGGAACTCCGGACCACGTTTGACTACTTGATAGAAGCTGAAGGACTCTCAAAGATTGACATGTACCCGACAACATGGAAGCTGCAAGAAAAGAGTAAGCATTCTCACAGTTCTTTACAAAGTTATTTCAAACCAGAGTAAACCATCGGGATCGGACAACGTTTGGGAGATCTTTAGAAGCTGTTGCAAAGCATTCCGTGAAAGCTGTCGCGGACGCCAAGACTTCAGAGTAAGAAAAGAAAGGCTTTCTTTCCTTACACATCTCGATATGATAATTGGCAGGGGATTTCACGACGAGATCCCACTTCTCATGGCTACGGCCGGAAGTATTGGATCGTTAAAACAAACTCGTGTGGGAGTTCCCACATGCGACTGGAACGCGATTCCCCGGCCGCTGTGCTGTGAGCGTGGTTTGCAAAGTGTCCCATCGAAGCTTTTTCTACTGTTGCTGTGAGTTTGGATTGGGCAGCTGCAGGTACGTAAACCTTTCAGAAACTCGGAAGAACCCTTTTCCCTTTCGAGTTTTTGGTATAAATCAGGTTTGCTCAGGTTTGAGAAGGGTCCTGTCAAGAGAATGGATTCATTACAAAGGCTGGGAATTGACTCTGCTTCTGATAGTAATGGCGGTACTGCGAGATTTGACAAGCTTGTAAAAGATTTATGTGGTGGTACTTCGAGATTTGACAACCTTGAGAAAAGCTTAGGATTTGGAGCTGATTGTGGAAAGCATGACAGCAACGAGGTGCAGGCATGTTTTGACGCGAAATTGAAAGAAATCGAGGAGCTCTCCCAAAGGATTGATAAGATTGAGAAGATGGTGGACAGGATTGTTCTTGTCCTAGAAAGGATTTGCGTGTAAAGAACAGATCCAGACTGTATACTTTAGCTTAGAAAACATCACATTAGCAAATTTTAGTATGGTCCCTATCTATCTAGCTCTCCAAATTATTTCTTTAGTATCAAAGTTAAAAATGAAAATATTTCCATCGCCCCTCACCACTAAACTTGCTGTTATAACACAATTGGGTTGTGGGTTACAATATTTATCAGATGACCACAAAGGATGATCTTGAGGGTTTTTAATCACAAAATTCCCATCTTGCTGTAAATGGGCCAAGCATCCATCAATAGGCTTGTAAGGGTGCTTACTCAAGAATAAAATTCTTCCATTGCTCTTCTCAATTAACACCAACTTACAATCTATGCGCAGGGTCAGCCTGTAAAGCCCATTCACCGAGTTCAAGCTATTTCCTGCAGGAATAAAAGACCCTGGAACTTTGTTTTGATTCCCTATAAGTGATGATTCAAAGCTCCAACACTCACTTCCAGCAATATCATCCTCCATCACATTAGACGTATTTCTAATTACCTTGGGTGTCTGAGAAATAAAGGCCATACCATAGTTTTGTGCTTGGTAAACACCAAAGTTTACTCGATAGTGTATGGCAAAGTTTGAGAATTCTGTGCGTATTTCGGCACAAAACCTCCGCCTTCCTCCAATATAAGTCGAGGCATCTGAAAATATTTGATTTCTGATATTTCTGAAAGTGGCTCGCACTGAATGGGAGGGAAAATCAATTGCTATTAAGGGATCTGCAACACAAAACATAACAACAGGGGCGTTGATATAAAATGTGATCCTGAGTGTCATTGCACCAATATGAAACTCCACTGATGTGCTTCCCACTGGAAAGAGGTTGTAAGGATTATTCCCAGTAGCATCAGCGTAGTGAGTTGTAATAAAATTAGACATGAGCCGAATTACATCTTGGAATTGTTCAGGTGATAATGCACCTGAAGCCAGCTGAAAAACTGTTGTGGGATTGGAATAGTAGGGTGGTGGTGGAACTAAAGAATGAGAAAACTTTTGCAAAATAAAAACCAGCAAAACAATCAAAAAGTGAATCATTGTTCACAAAACTTAAAAAAACGAATATAGTGACGGATTTAGAGAACAACTAAATGGTAAATTAATTTTGTATTGTTCCCACAATTATCTATTAAATATATTAGAATATTCTGGATATTTAAATTGATTCATTGTCGTTTACAAATTTTCTAATTATTAAGCTAAGTTAAGTTATTTTCTAATTTTTCTAATATTAAAAAGGCTGGTGTGCCGTGGAAGAAAAGTCAAGTTTTCAATTATAAAAGCCACGTCCGGTCAAAGCTCGAAACCTCCCAGTCAACTATGGTCCAGTCGCGGGACGAAGCCGCCGAGCGTGAGAGGCGCGCCAATAACCTCCGCTTCAAAGGCGTCGCGGAGCAGCAAGGCGAGGGCGTTGGCCAAGTAGTGGAGGCGATCCTTAAGGAACTGGGCCTGGTCACCGTCTCGAAGAAGATCAAGGAGAGCGCCCAGAGGCTTGGCCGCGAGATCGAGGATCGAAGGAGACCTCGCGACATCCTGGTCGAATTTGCCGCCGGCTCCAAGCTGCGGAGCCACCTGCTAGGCAAGCAGGAGGAAGCCCGGAAGCTGGGATTCGCGATTTCTGAGGATTACACTCGCGCCCAGATGGAGGAGATGAACAAGATCAAGGCGTGGGAGCGCTGGGAGCGGAGCTTGATCCTGTTTGCTCCGCGGCTTTGGTTCCAGAGCGACGAGCAGGACGAGGAGGAGCTGCGGGATCACGTCGCGAGCGTGATCTACGACGGGCTGGGCTACGAGGCGGAGGAGTTTGACATGGAGTGGATTGTGGAGACTGAGAGGTTGCGATTGCGAGAGCCAGTGTTTGGAAAGCCCGAGCCCATAAGGATTGTTTTCAAGGACAAGAACGTAAGAGACGAGGTGTTTAGATGGAAGACGGAACTCAAAGGATTTTATAGGCTGGAAGAACCCCGGAAGCCAAGGCAGCGCAATTGATTAAAACTACTTCATGGAGATGACGGGTTTCTTAACTTAATTAAAACGTCCTTTCTTCAGTCCACGACAACTCCAAAGGTTTAGGAAGCTCAGGCTCCCTTCATTGGCATTTGTTTAAAGATGCACAGCAGTGAAGGGATCATGCAGCAACTTGGGATTTACTATCTTGAGGATGAAAGATGTGCAAACTTGAAAATGTCTTTAGGAGTGTGGCATAGTGAGCAAGTTAATGATAAGTCTGCCTTACAGAATCCACAACCAATTGTTTGTACTGTTTACAAGTTCTAGTTGAGAATAGTAGAAGGTGGGAATGGATATGGGAGGATGTAGGAAAGACTTTTAGTTCCTCAAAATAAAAATTAAAGACTTAGGAAGAACAGTTGCAAAAGCTTGCCAATGACGAGAATGAAGACAGCTGCAAAATTGAAGTCCTGTATGATCGAAGGATGTGACTACACCAGTTTGATGCTGAAGAAGCAGGAGAGGTGACAACTTGCTGCTCAATGTGAGCATCCTCCTCCTGTTACACAATATAAAAGAGTTAAAAACGAGAATAGTTTAGACTAAAGGCTACTTGTCAGTCCTCTCTTTTTCTTCTTCCATTCTTCTTGGTTCTTCCTTATTTCCCATTTCCTCTTTCTGAATCGTTTTTACTTTGTGTTTTCTGCAGAGATAATAAGAAAATTACCTCAAATTGAGTAGCATGTTGGCACTCTATCAAACTGGCATAGTGTTTTTTCCATGTCCTTAGATCCTATAGGACTTTAATTTCATGGCTATCTATGTGCTTATGTCTTTATTTAGGAACTTCAATTTCTTGTTCTCCAGTTTGCACAGTAGCCTATCATTATCAAGCTTTTGCAACTGTTCTTCCAGAGTCTGCATAAAAATTTTAATATAAGGAACTAAAAGGAGTAAAATCATATTAGACATGGGAAGAAGTGTAAACAAGAGACTTCTTCCAGGAAATACCAGGTAAAGACTTTTAGTTACCTGAGGAGGAGTCTTTACCTGGAAGAAGTCTCCTGTTTACACTTCTTCCCATGTCCATTCCCACTGGAAAATGTAAACAGTTTGAAAAAAACAGCATACAAACAACTTATGACGATTCTGATTCTGTGCTGAATTAAGGCCAATTTGTCAAAGAATTGTTCGCCACAAACTCCTTCCAGGGGATATAGAAGGACGTTTTCAAGCTTGCACATGTACTGCTTGTCGTCTTCATCCTCAGGATGTCTGCATCACTAAACACATCTTCTTCTTCCTCAGTAAGCATCCCATCATCCTTGTGCATCTCTAAACAAATGCCAAAGATGAGCAACCATTTATAAACAAAAAACCAAAGACCAAAACCCCCTCTGTATGCATCCCTTCACTGATGTGCATCTTTATACAAATGCAAGGGAGCCTGAGCTTCCTAAAATCTGGATGCAATTGAGGACTTACCTGAAATCTGCCTATTGTCGCCTAAACTGTAACACACGGATAAACAAACGGCTGAGAAAGGACTATACGAAAAACGCCCTGCCCTGTCTTTGAGAC